TGAAGCTGTCGTACATCAATGGTGTCACATGTTTAAAGATGGACAAACTGATGTGCACGATGAGGCAAGAAGTGGTTGCCCATCTATAGTCAGCAATGAACTTGTGCAGAAAATTGACAAAAAGGTCCATGAAGTCCATCAGTTCATGATATTTGCACTTTCTTTACACTTTCCTCAAATTTCTCAGACTGTTTTGAACACTTGAAGCAGTTCTGTTGGGAAGTTTTTGATCATCGCTCCTATAGCCCAATTTGGCACCAAGTGACTACTACCTCTTCAGGCATATAAAACAGTGGCTTGCATCACACCGCTTTGACAATGACAAAGCGCTTCACGATGTTGTTACAGGGTGGCTTCAGTCTCAGGTGGGAGATTTTTTTGCAGAAGAAATTTTGAAGCTTGTAAGACATTATGATAAGTGCCTCAATTTGAATGGCGATTATGTCAAAAAGTAATGTAATGTCGTAGTTTTCTAATGTGTATAATAAAAGTTCTGTATCTGCGAGTGTCTGTCATTGATAACCAAATGGAGGTTTATTTCCAAATTGCCCTCGTATTTTTGGCTCATAACTGTAAATGATCATTGAATGACTGGTCATTAAATGAAGGCCACCTATACTATAGTAATAATAATAATAATAATAATAATAATAATAATAATAATAATAACAATAATAATAAATTCTTGTATTATCTAATCTACTTCTGGATATACAGTTTAACATTGGTAAGACATTGTAGATGTTTCTAGACTCCCGACTAATAAAAAAAACCTATCTGTTGTTTTTCCATACAGGTACTTAATGGTTTTAATCAATTGAGCTACTCATTAGATAAGATTTCCTTATTTAGATGCATAGATTACAAAGTATATGAATGTTGTGAAACTAATTATGATTCTCTTTGGAAAGACTTATACCAAATATGATGGGGCAAGACTGCAGCAATTACTGCAGGAATATCTCCTTTACTAAAAATTGCTATTTTTGTTTCAAACTCTTTTATTTACTTTGTAAAGGTGAAAAAGCTCAGTGATAGAAAACCGGGTTTTTTTGTTTTCGTTCAAAATTTCCTGGAATAAATAAATTTGATATATTAACTTTAGGAATGTTTTGCAGTTTTTAAATCAGACATATAATTTTGAGAGAGAAATATCAGAACCATGAAAATTTGTAGGGAAATATCTGCTCCTAGTAGCTTTCCCTCCCTCAACAGCTATGCAGACACCATTTTTAAAACATCATCTTTAAAATATAGCTAACATTTTATATATTAAAAACATTTTTCTATATAATATGATGTTATAAAATTATATAATAGTGAAAACAGCAATCCATCCTGCCTTACTTTATGTTAGATTATGGAAGCTCTAAATATAATAAAACATAATATGAATATAAGTAATATTAGAGAGCCAATCTAGTATAGTCGTTAAGATACTAGCTTAAAAACTGGAAGTCCATGGGTTTTAGTACCGCCTCCTTAGACACAAAGCCAACTGGGAGTCATTTTCTCCCAATCCTAAGGAGGCAAGGACAAGCCGCTTCCAAAAACCTTGCCTTGAAATCTGCAGAAAGTACTCCATGCAGTCATCAAAAGTAAAAAAGAAAAGCAGAGTCTAGGGGATATAATAATAATAATATGAATGCATATTGTTTTATATGATGGAGCAATGCACTAATCTGAATTCTTAATTGTTAATTGCAATTATATTTATAATTTATAATATATTTAAATATATTATATATTTAAAAAATCATTATAATAAAAAAACCTGGAAAAATCTTTTAATCTGAGGAGGCATGTGAATGTTGGGGATGGGGATGATGATGCTTTTTCTTAATCAATTAAGAAACCTAAATTAATGTCCTTAATCTAGGAAAGAAAAATTATGGCCTTGTTTCAGCAGGAACAGTAGCCATTTAATCCCAGTGATAACTGTCAGTTGGGAAGTACAGGCTGAAACTATGATGCACAGACTGAAACTCCTTCTGGCCTAGGAGACAAAAGTTGGGTGATCTGTTGACTTTGGTGAAGAACACATTATAAATACGAGAAAACTTCCCAACTAAAAATTAAGAAACTGCATAATTTCAATTTCCCTCCTATTGTGCTCCAATTGATAATTGCAATCAATTTTATATTTTATAAAGATTTTAAAATTGTTTCTTTTTTAACTTGATAGTGAAATAAAAAAGAAAAAAAGAAAAGCAATATACAAAAAAGAAGAAGATGAAGCATTTAAATACTCCCTCTCTTTCCCACCTCCTTTGTTTCCTTCTTCTCTGGATGTAAATAAGTTAGGACTTCTTTAAATTCTAATTATTAATTTAAAAATTGAAAATTTGTTATAAAGTTGACAACTATTATGGATCCTGTCTGGCCCCAAACATAATATAAAATAATTAAACATTTTTTGAAGGGAGCAAAGGCTCTGGAGTAGTACCTGCCATGACTTTCGCTGAAGATGATTGGCTACAACTGCAGGAAAGATCTACCTGCCTGGTGTCATGGGCAGCAGAACCTGCCCTCAGGCTGTTCTGCTAAACTCTGGTACTGTATTGTGGTGGCACCTCGCAACTCATACTGCTTCAATTCAGTCAAAGTGGCCAACTTGGGGAGGAGCATTTGTCAAGCCAGAATTTTATGGAACCTAAATCTTTTATTATTATCGATCATCGCACAGTCAGCCAGATATTCAGACTGGATTTGGCATTTTGTCTACCTATCGAGTCCTTACCCAGGACCTGGGATAGGCAGATGTGGATGTTTGATGGTATTACAGATATCGTCGCAGGATGGAAGCAGTTCCTAATAAGGCCGCCTTTTGCAATTGACTAATAGCAAATTTGTCAGTGCAGATGGTGTTCAAGTGGTGCTCCAGTTGTTTTGGGATTGCACCCAAGGAGCCTATGACTATTGGTACTACCCTTGCTTGCTTATTATTATTATTGTTATTGTTGTTGTTGTTGTTGTTGTTCTTCTTCTTCTTCTTCTTCTTCTTCTTCTTCTTCTTCTTCTTCTTCTTCTTCTTCTTCTTCTTCTTCTTCTTCTCCTTCTCCTCCTCCTTCTTCTTCCTATTATTATTGTTATTATTATTATTATTATCATTCATCGCACAGTCAGCCAGATGTTCAGACTGGATTTGGCATTTTGTCTACCTATCGAGTCCTTACCCAGGACCTGGGATAGGCAGATGTGGATGTTTGATGGTATTACAGGTATCGTCGCAGGATGGAAGCAGTTCCTAATAAGGCCGCCTTTTGCAATTGACTAATAGCAAATTTGTCAATGCCAATGGTGTTCAAGTGGTGCTCCAGTTGTTTTGGGATTGCGCCCAAGGAGCCTATGACTATTGGTACTACCCTTGCTTGCTTTTGCCACAGTCTTTCTATTTCTATTTGTAGGTCTTTGTATTTTGTTATCTTCTCCAGTTCTTTCTCTTCTATTCTGCTATCTCCAGGCACTGCCACGTCCACTATCCAGACTTTTTTGTCTTTCTTATCGACAATTGTTAAGTCTGGGGTGTTATGTTGCAGGTGCTTGTCTGTTTGAATTCTGAAGTCCCAGAGCAGTTTAATTTTATCATTTTCTATGACTTTCTCTATTTTATGATCCCACCAGTTTTTGCTTACAGGCAAATGATATTTTTTGCAGATCTTCCAATGCACCATTGTTGCTACTTTGTCATGCCGCTGCTTGTAATCAGTCTGTGCAATCTTCTTGCAAAAGCTTACCAAGTGGTCCACTGTTTCTTCAGCTTCTTTGCATAGGCGGCACTTACTGTCTGTTGCTGTCTTCTCAATTTTGACTTTGTATGCATTTGTCCTTAAGGCTTGGTATTATTATTATTATTATTATTATTATTATTATTTATTATTATTATTATTATTATTATCATTATTATCATTATTATTGTTGGGGTAATTTAATGTTGTGTTTGACTTTTGTTTTCTTATGCATATATTTGATAAGTAGTGTATATGAATGCAGTCACACCATAGAAGGGGCATAGCCATTGTGCATTTCAAGCTGCAACTAAGGTCTCAGCCAGATGGCCCACCAATTCCTAAATGAAGAACCCAACCTCCTCTGAACCCAACAAGATCCATCAGGAATCTTGGGTCGGTTGATCTAACAGGCCTTGCCTCCCCATGAAGTCAGGTGACACCAGCAAACCAGAAAGCATCCAGAGAATGATTTCATCATGGCAATGAACTAATAATGATGTTCTCCAAAACTAGGTATGTTGCTACTGCCAGAAAACAAAAACTAATGTGTGGTCACTGATATGCATTGGGTGTAGTGATTTGGGACAAGTCCATGGTTGCCATAAACTCCTGGACTACCTTATACTCAAGGCTACTAGAAGTGAAGTTGAAATCTCCAAGAGCCAACAGCCTCAGGTCTCTATTGTCAGCACAACAACATATTCAGTTGCTCAAGCAGGTATGATGCTGGTCAACAGATAATACACAAGCAGCAATCACAATTGTTCCTTACAGCCCAAATTTAACCAAGAGCCTCACATCCAGTTTGCACCACAGGTCTCCAAACCCTCAACAATTTGCAGATGATAATGGCCAGCATTTCTTCCCCTCCCCTAAAGTTTGAGCTAAATTCCAAGATAACTGCCCACTCTAGAGCCATTCAGAACATAGTAAGGCCAGACAGGTCTGTTGCCATACCCACAATCAAATTTTGGATGAAGAAAGATATATTGCAGACTTACTTGGCAATCAGCAGCAATAGCTGGAGTCCAGGGTCTCACAGGCATTATTTATTTATTGATATAAGTCACCCAATCTAATTTATAGGCCTTAAAAGGAGCAATTTATAGGATACAATATGTGCCAGGAAGGAAGCGGAGGGGGAAGATGAAAATGGAGGGGAGGGGAAAAGAAAGAAAAAAAATAAAAGAAGAGAGAAGAGAGAGAGAGAGAGAGAGAGAGAGAAAAGAAAGAGAAAGAAAGAAAGAAAGAAAGAAAGAAAGAAAGAAAGAAAGAAAGAAAGAAAGAAAAAAAGAAAAAAAGAAAGAAAGAAAGAAAGAAAGAAAGAAAGAAAGAAAGAAAGAAAGAAAGAAAGAAAGAAAAAAGAAAGAAAGAAAGAAAAGAAAGAAAGGAGTTGTCACTTATCATGATCTTGACTCCTTTCCTTGTCTTAATTATTGAACACAAGTGTCCACTGAACGATTAACAGCTCGTATAAGGAGGGATTGATTCTTATTTTGGAAGGTCATAAACAGAGACATTATATCCATGTCTTTGGTGTCCCCATCCAGAGAGAAGGTGAAGTTCTGGAGCAAAGTGCTGAAGAACAGAAAGAGCTCCATCTTAGCCAGAGCCTCTCCTGGGCAGGCCCTCTTCCCTGAAATTGCAAACAAGAAAACAAAGCTTATTCAAAGCTGATTAAAGAATAACATGGATCAGGCATGCATATGAATTGGTAATACTATCTGTCCCAGAGGACTGTACCTGCTGAGAATGGCATGAAAGCATCTCTTTTCCTGAACTGGCCCTTTTCATTCAAAAAATGATCTGGGTTGAACTTCTCTGGAGTCTCCCAATGGAGAAGATCACGGTGTACTGAGGAGAGGACTGGCACAACAGCCATGTACTAGAAGAAGGAGGTAAAGAAACAGATGGCATTAATTGGTGCAACTTTGTCCAGAGAATAAAGAGCCTCACTTGTGTCAAATAAAATAGGCCAGCAGGGAGCAATCTGCAAACATTCTGAAATGGAATGAAGGGAGAGAGATTTGGTTTTATTAATTAATTTATTAAATTTGTATACTTCCCATATCCAAAATGACTCTAGGCAATTCACAATGCCATACATAATACATATTAATTCATACTTATTCAAACTGCCTTGAACATGAAGGATCTTTGACTATATAACAGTGAGTGCTTTTTTGTAAAAAACAAAAAGGTGGTGGAACTCACACAGGTCATACAACCCGCCTTGCCTACCCTACAAGCTTTACCTTTGTAGTTGAAAAAAACCCTTCAGTTTTTAATGTATCTAAAAGACTGGGATTTTATTCAAGGTAAGTTAATAATATTAATGTTACCATGCACAAATCCGTTGAAAAAGGGTGCTGGAAATCCATTCTAGTGTGTTCTATGACCAAAAAAGCCCTCATAACAATCATCTATTTTTTTTCCTCTGCAGAATATCTTTATCAGTAATTATTATTGCCACACCTTGGGAATGTTGTAACCATGGAACTTTACATCACAAGTTGTTGCCCGTGGAAAGTTTTCAAGGCTCTCAGGCCCATAACGTTGAACCTCATGGACCACAGCATTTGTGAAAGGCATCTTCAAGCGGTCTTCCATGCTTGGAGTGCGATTTGTACCCACTACCTCATCAATCTCTTGTTGCACCTTAGCTGTGAGAAAAATATATTGAGATGAAATTAACAATCTTTTCCTGTATTGTACTGAGCACCTTCAGTCAGCTACCACTTGAATAGAAACATGTTTTCCAAAGCACGTTCAGAGAAGATACTTCCAGTCAGGAAAATGGCTCTTCCTCAAAGTCATTTCTCAGTGGAGACCATTTCAATTTTTCTAGTGCAAGAAGACTATGTTACGGTTGAAATTATGAAAGCTGGTGATCACAGTTTACACAAGATACTAGCAAAGCTGTACTTGAGTTAGTAATAGTAATAGTAATAGTAGTAAAGTTGGAAGGGACCTTGGAGGTCATCTAGTCCAACCCCCTGCTCAGGCAGGAAACCCTACACCATTTCGGACAAATGGCTGTCCAGTCTCTTCTTAAAAACTTCCAGTGTTGGAGCATTTACTGCTTCTGGAGGCAAGCTGTTCCACTGATTAATTGTTCTCACTGTCAGGAAGTTTCTCCTTAGTTCTAGGTTGCTTCTCTCCTTGATTAGTTTCCACCCGTTGCTTCTTGTCCTGCCTTCAGGTGCTTTGGAAAATAGCTTAATTCCCTCTTCTTTATGGCAGCCCCTGAGATATTGGAATACTGCTATCATGTCCCCCCTTGTCCTTCTCTTCGTTAAACTAGACATACCCAATTCTCGCAACCGTTCCTTATATGTTTTAGCCTCCAGTCCCCTAATCATCTTTGTTGCTCTTCTCTGTACTCTTTCTAGAGTCTCAACATCTTTTTTACATCGTGGTGACCAAAACTGGATGCAGTATTCCAAGTGAGGCCTTACCAAGGCATTGAAGAGTGGTATTAATACTTCACGTGATCTTGATTCTATCCCTCTGTTAATGCAGCCTAGCACTGTGTTGGCCTTTTTGGCAGCTGCAGCACACTGCTGGCTCATATTTAGGTGATTGTCTACTAGGACTCCGAGGTCCTTCTCACAGTTACTACTATTGAGCATGGTGCCACCTATGCTGTACTTGTGCATTTGGTTTTTCTTTCCTAAATGTAGAACCTTGCTTTTTTCACCATTGAATTTCATTTTGTTAGTTAGTGTCCAGTGTTCAAGTCTGTCCAGATCCTTCTGTATCTTAAGCCTGTCTTCTGGAATGTTGGCTATTCCTGCCAGCTTGGTGTGATGAGTTCCCCATGTATCCCTTCATCCAAATCATTGATGAAGATGTTGAAGAGCACTGGGCCCAGAGCAGAGCCCTGGGGCACCCCACTACACACTTCCCTCCATATAGATGCAGTTCCATTGAGGACCACTCGCTGAGTACGGCCGGTCAGCCAGCTACGGATCCATCTGGTGGTGATTCTGTCTACCCCACATTTTTCTATCTTATCAAGTAGTAGGTTGTGATCTACTTTATCAAATGCCTTACTGAAGTCCAAGTAAATTATGTCCACAGCATTCCTCTGATCCACTAATTTTGTCACTTGGTCAAAGAATGCAATAGGATTTGTCTGTCATGATCTATTTTTGACAAACCCATGTTGGCTTTTAGTAATCACTTTGTTTGCCTCTAGGTGTTCGTTGATTCGTTGTTTGATTATCTTTTCCAGGATCTTTCCAGGTATTGAGGCCAGGCTGATAGGTCTGTAATTTCCTGGATTCATTTTTTTTCCTTTTTTGAGGATGGGAACTACATCAGCTCTTTTCCAGTCCTCTGGTAGTTCCCCTGTGTTGCAGGATCCTTGAAAAATATAGTTCAGTGGTTCCGATATCACATCTGCCAGTTCCTTGAGAACTCTGGGGTGTAATCCATCTGGTCTTGAGTTGCCTCAGAAAAGAAAAAATAACCGATGAATGGAAAAATGCTGAAGTGATTCTTATACACAGGAAAAGGGCCCAACATGATTTAAAGAACTATTGCCCAATAAGCCTCCTTTCACACATTGACAAGGTTTTCACCAAGATAATAGCAAAAAGAATATTGAGAACATTAAATGATGCACAGCCAAAGGAGCATGCAGGGTTCAGAAGTGGTTACAGCACAATAGATCACATCCAGGTTGTTCATCAAGGCATTGAAAGGTACAACAAATACACCATGCCTCTGTGCATGGCTTTCATTGACTACAATTTCATTGACTACATCTCAGAATTCCAGCAAGCAATAATTAGGGCATTGCTCAACCAAGGCATAGATACTTCTTACATAAACATACTACAATCAATATATGAAAAACAATGGCGGCAATTTGCCTTAATGATCTTAAAGTGGAAATCAACATAGAACAAGGTGTACGACAAGACAATACAATATCCCTATTCTTTTCTCAGTCTGCCTTTAAGAAGTATTTTGCAAACTAGCCTGGGCAAAAAATGGAATAAAAATCACTGGCGCTTATTTAAATCACTTAAGATTTGCAAATGATATTGTTCTCTTCTCCCAAGATCCAGAAGAGCTACAAATAGACATATGAGAGCTGCACAAAGCAGGAGAACCATTTGGCTTAAAAATAAACCTGAAAAAGAGCCAGGTTATGTTTAATAAATTCACCAAAGAAAGAAAAGAAATATATGTGAAGAAGAATTAGATATAGTAGACCACTGCATATACCTTGGCCAATGGATGTCAATGGAAGGTGATTCAATAAAGGGAATTGATCGACATGTTAAATGTGGTTGGTAGGCACTCAGCAAGCTAAGTATCATTTTTAAGAACAACTTCCTCCTATGCCTGAAGAGAAAAGTTTTTGATCAGTGTATACTACCTGCTCTAACATATGCCAGTGAACCATGAACACTAACCTCACAATTGATACAAAAGCCACAAGTGGCACAAAGAGCCATAGAAAGATACATGCTCGGCATTACAAGACAAGATAGAAAGACCTGCAAGTGGATTAGAGTACAAACGAAAGTATATGATATCATCAAGAAGAGTAAAAGAACTGAAATGGAAATAGGCCAGTCACATAGCAAGAAGAACTGATGGCAGGAGGACCAAGGCAGTCATAGAATGAATCCCACTCGATAAAAAGTGTCCACGAAACAGACCTAAAACAAGATGGATCGACAACATCAGCAAGTTTTGTGGGCCCAATTGGCAGGACTGTATGGGTCTTTGACTGTAATAAACTTGAACTTGAACTTCATCACGCAATGGATAGAGAATGGTAAAAATGATGATGAGAATGAATATTATGTGCCAGCAGAGTACAAACAATTTATTCCCTCAAAAACCTCAAGGTTCATTTCCAAAGAAAGAATGCTTCAGGATACAGCTGCCAATCAATTTTGCGGGGGTATTGTAGATTAAGATTTATAATATTGTCACTGCTTATAGCAGTACGGTTCAAATGTTAAGGATGATATCGTGAGTTAAAAGGATGTGGGTTTATACTGATACAAAAATGATTCTTAAGAAAAGCTATACCATATTAAATTAATCATTCATACTAGGACTCCTTAAAGCAAGTACTCAATTAATTAATTGATCTGCCTTAAGGCTGTATGAAGGAAAAGACTGCTGTTGTTAAAGCGTTCAATCACATCTTGCCTCTTCATGATCTAATGCAGTGGTCCCCAACCTCTCTGGCTCCATGGACCGACAGCAGTAGTGGCGGCAGGAGGGAGAGTTTGGATTTGCATGTGCAACTTAACTCCCATGCATGCTCAAATGAAGCCTCAAGCACTCGTCTCCTGCTTGCATGGCCTGATTCCCAACAATTCTGGTCCAAGGAGACAGGATTGGGGACCCTTGATCTAGTGGATATTATTTTACTAGAACTGTCTTTGTGTAATCTCAAGATTTCATGGAAGCCCAGTTGTTCCAAGGGCATGTTAGTTAAACTGGGAAATAAACAAAACACAGCAAAACATTCTGTAAGAAGATCTTGGCAAACACTTCCCAAAACCTGCCAGGAAAACTGCAGAAATGCAGCTGCAATGAGTTTACTTTACTCAACAGCATCCTTACTTTATTTTTTCCAGGATTATTAGTGGAAGCCCTAAAGCAGGAGTCTTCAAACCTGGCCCTTTTATGATTTGTGGACTTCAGCTCCCAGAATTCCTCAGCTAGAGTGCTTGGCTGAGGAATTCTGGGAGTTGAAGTCCACAAGTCACAAAGGGGCCATGTTTGAAGAGCCCTGCCCTAAAGAGTTGACACCTTTATATATTAGTGGTTATTTCTGTACCTTGAATATGTGGCAATTTAGCCATTGTTAGGAGGCTGCGTAGCAAAGTTCGGCTTGTGGTTATTGTCCCAGCAGTAAAGAGAGTAAGCACAGTAATCACAAGATCATCAAGAGTGTAGATTCCCTCAGATGAGTTCTGCTCCTGAAAAGAAAATAGAAAGGGAAACAGAAGGATGAAAATGGGGTTGATTAAAGTAATTTATGAAACTCTTCATAGTGTTTCTTTCAGTTAAAGGAAACTTAACTGACTAACTTTAGAATATATAGGAGAATTTTTCAATTGTAAAGCATTTATGCAATCACCATTTGATGCAGAGAGGAAACAATTTGCCTGTCTGACCTATCTATCAAATATTTACCCACAAGAAATTACGAGAATTATAGGTTGTTATTTAGAGCTGGACAAAAGCAACTCTTAAGCTGTATGGTGGGAAAACTGGATTAGATCTGAGCACAGAAGCTTGAATGTTATATCTGAGAGACTAATTCTAATAGAAATTGCTCCTGCAAGATGAATTATTATCTTTATATCACCTATTAAGAGTGTAGAAGAGGTGTAAATTAGCATGTAAAGCAAATGTCTATACTTACTCATTTTTAATTATGTCAGGCATAAGAGTACATGTTAATAAATGGCAAATTAAAGTAATAAAAAGGGGGATAAATATTTTCATATTCTTTCATCTTAGATACATATTGGAGATATTTAGACAGTTATGCAGAGATGGTATCTATGCCTACCTTCTCCATTCTATGAAGGAAGCAATCAATATAGTCACACGGGTTCTGGGGATCCAGTGTCTTCTTGTGCAATTCCACTTTCTCACGGATATAATCATAGACTTTTTCTGTCTCAGACTCGATATGTCGTCCCAAAAAGTATTCCATTGTTTTTGGAAAAGTATTGTACACCTGTTGCAGAGTTGACGTTAAACAGTATATGTTTTTAGACCATAATGGTGAAGGCTTAATGCCCCAAATATTCAGAGATTAGCTTTTAGTCTGATATTGTTAATTATCAAACCTCAGCTAGGTGCCAAGACAAAGAAGACAGGTTTGGCAAGAATCTCAGTAAGCTATCTTTAATTTTAGTGTTGAGAAAATATAGTGTCTTAGGAAATACTGCATGGTAGGAATTTTTATTTATAATAAGTTGGTTAAAAAGGAATCTCTTTGACAAGCCTTTCCCCCAGATCTTTCCTCACCTAGCCTGAGTTCCCTGCAGGATATATTCTGTCAAGCCTCACCCCAGCTATCCCATGAAGGGATAATGATGAAAATGATGACAGTTCTTGAAGCAGGGAGGAAAGAGGGACATAAGAATAGGGGAAATGTCTAAAAATGCCATGAGAAGAAGAAAGGTGCCTGTGCATAATTTGATATGATGATTATCAAATTATATATAGTTAAATATGTAGCATTGTACTTTTAAAAATTATTATAATAATATACCTTTCAGTTTGATCACAATATTGATATTCCTCTTATATCACAAACCTAATAGCTCGGGGGATAGTGCTATTGTCATTTCTTAGAACAACATGGAAATAAGTTTGAGAATTAAAGTTAACTTTTCAGTCAAGGGATGAAAAAATTAAGTGAAACATTACAATTAGGAGGAATCAGCCTCTCCAGTGAAATTCCATGTTTGGCTCTCCCTGACTAATTAAGAAATGGGCAAGTCCGAGAAATAAGCAGGTCAGGGCCCACAGCAGTTACGAGAGAATGAAATGATCCCGTGGGAAATAAGCCCAGCCAGGAAAGAAGGTTTGCTGAGAACCAATTTATATTTTGATGGCTCAGTCTTGTTGGATGTCTGGATTTGACTTCTCCTGCTTATCTACAGTAATCTCTACATCTACAGCAATCTCCACATCCCTTATTTGGATATTCGAACACAAAGAGAGACCCACTAGTAAAAATGAGTGTTTATAGCAGGAAGAGCATCAGAGAGGAAAAACATACCAGTCCTAGGAAACCAGTCAGAAATCTTGTTTGAAACTCCACAATCTGCTGGTTCTCTATGAAGGTTTGATCATTGTAATCAAATCGATTGCCAAAGACGACTGTACAGATCACATTAGAAACAGCACTTGCCAAATTTCTTCTTGGGTCAAAAGGCTGCCCTGCAACAAAGGCCACAGACATTAATGGGAGGGATCAAAGAATGGGGATCTTCCTTTCCACAATTCTCACCACAGAACTTCAACAAAAAAAGTGGTTTGGGTCAAAGAAGTTATTCAAAAATTTTATTGGTATTTTTAAATAAATAATATTAAATAGAAGAACCTAGATGTAATTAAATGAAAACATAAACCTTATAACCTCTAGAGGTTTTTTTGAAAACCTTCTTGCTGTCTTCTGTCAAGAATTGTTTTCTCACTTTCTCTGCCCTTTTCTGCTCATGGTGGGTTTTTCCCTCCCTGTTCCTTCCCTTAGAAGTTTCTATTTCCAGTTTTCACTCTCCTGACTGTCTCTCCCTCCACCTTCTAATTTCTTTCTTCTTTCTTTTTTAAAATATAATCCTATTATTTCATTTCTTTCCCCTTCTGATTCCAGAGATTTGTGCATTCATGATTATATTCAAAAGAGGCACAAATCTTTAGATGAATACTATTTATGATAATATGTTTTCCTTTCTAGTTTTAGATTACCTATGTCATTCATCCATAACTTCTTTTTCTGGCTCTTGAATTTGCCTGATATATAATCATGTTCAAATAAATTGTTTAAACAGTTTTTTTTGGCTTCTTTTCCCAGTTTTAACTGAGCACTCTATTCCCTCAGCACTGTCTCCTTCTAATCTATCCAGCTCTTCTTTTTTTTAAAAAAAAAATAATAATATTCCATTCACATTTTTTTCTATTTATTTTTTTTAAATCTCCTTCCAGAAAAGACTTGTCCATGGAACATGATTTTCCAAGATGCTACATCTCCTGGAAAAAAGATAAATTTATATCTGTCAAGCACCAGGCAAATCAGGCGATCCAGGCAGTTGAAATGGGTATAAAGATTTATTGTAAGCTTAAGCTCTCTACAAGAATCTGAACTAATAATGGCCAAAGGAAATTAGCGGGAGATAAGAGTAGAAGGATTCAAGATAGGCTGGATGTAGATCTCTTGTGGGCATGAAGGGACTCATGACTGATGATTTGTTTGATCCCTCCCTTGGGATCAGCCTGGTCATTTCCTACAATAGCCTTAATTCAAATCCACGCCACCTCACAGATCTCCATCACTCATGCAGTTGATTCTTATCCATATTTTCCTTACCTCATTTATTTTACACGCATATATATACCTATCTAAGTTTTTCTTTATTTTGTGCACTTAAGCACAGATGATTTGAGTTTCAGTTTAGAATCTAGTTTTCCTGTAACTTCACATAAAACAACAAACCCTTTCCAGTTTCATATTTTAAAAGATAATAGTCTTCCTGATATGATTCTTCTGTGGGAGAACAGGTCTCAGTTTCTTTAGAGGACCTTTTGTGGCAGCCATTTCCTCCACCAGACAAAGAGCTTCCTCCTGCACCCTCTCAGACATTCTTTTCTTCCCCATCCCAAAATCTCGCAAGGTGGACAGTGTGAACCGTCGCAGCTCCCTCCATTTCTTCTCATCATTTGTAGATATTCCTGAAACAAAAGACACCAAAAGGATCATGATGTTGGTCAATTCTCAGCTTTTGTGGAAGAGCATGTTTCGATATAATATTTCAGGCACTTTTCTTTTTCAAATCTTTGTTTCAATCATAGCTGAAAGAGGCTACTACACTGCAATAAATTATGCATCAGAGAAATGTCCTTCCTCACATTTAAAGTAAACAAGGCTTGATGTTTGAAATACCAGTGAAGCAAACTTCACAGTTGCCATCTTTCCATTCTTGACTGCTGTCATAAGTGTGTTATAGATAGAAAGAAATCCCTACACTAGACATGGAACTCTATACTGAGATGCCGTTTTCAGTAAGCAGAAGAAAATTGGAGTCGTTTTGAGTTGTGGATTTTATTTTATTATTATTATTTGCTGTAGAGGCTTTATTGACAAAAATAAATCACTTCCAATTATGTATGTACTAGCTTGCTTGATTGTGTGCTAACAAGTTACTCTCAACTCTTAGCTACCTTTAGATTTCCTCCAACACAATCTATCCCTAACCTAATTCTTCAGGACTTGTAAGGGTACATTTGTCATCATTTTAACTGAGTTCATTGACGTTGCAAATGGTCCTCCTTTTCCCTTTATTTTTCTCACCATTATAGCCTCCTCTAGAGAGCAAGACTTTTGAACCATACTGTATGTCTGAAGAATGATAATTTCAGTCTGGTCATTTATGCATTCAATGGAAACTCTGACCTGATTTGCTCAATGAGCTATTTGTTTCTTATTTTTGGATGTCCACAATATTCTCAGAGATTTTGTCCAACATCAAAACCATATTCTTTCAATATTCTTTCTCTCCTGTTTATTCAAAGTCCAAATTGCCAAAGTATCCTCTTTGAAGAACGTTTTGTCTGCCTTCCCAAAGGACCAGTTTAAAGGTGAGATTACTTTTTTTTTTTTTGAATGTAAGGAACAACCAGAACAGATTTCAGAAGTGATCAGTTGAAGAGAAATGGTGAAAAAAAGGTGTTCCTCCCTCTTCAAAAAACATGACCAGATCAACCTCTTTACAAAACTTCATTTCAAGTGAAACTTTCATAACTATCAATAATATTAAGAGCATTAAAATAATTTAAAAATACGTATAGAAAATTAAAAAGAGCTACAACGAATAAAGAAATAAAAGCGAATCAACCTTTATTTTGGAACAGTCGTCTGTGAAAGTCCGTATTAGTTCGCCCACCAAATTCTTCTGCTTGATTTATCAAAGCATCTTTTACCACCTCATATCCACAAAGAGCAACCATTGGTTTTGATCCAATCCAGATAGTAAATATAGGTCCATACTTCTCTATAAGCTAAAGGTAAAATTAGATGAAAACCGAGTTAATTAAACGATAAAGCATTTTTTGGTGAAATTATTCTAAAGCATGCTTGAAATATTTCTTAAATTCATAACAGAGAAATCATGTTGAATCTAACCTTTAATAATTCTTAGTATCTACAGGGTTCATCAATTTGATTGGATAAATTGCATGTACTGTATCTCCTAGCTGGTGAGATGATGGGAATGAGATAATCACAATTTTGACTGTATAATACATTTTTGCAAGTAATCTAGTACTACAAAATATATGATAGCAAGTTTTGCTTGTAACCACATATTTTAATGAACTTTGTAACCTCCATTGTGTATTTATCAGACTGTAACTAGGTGACTTTAAATTAAAATTCCTACTGAAGATGCACAAGAGCCCCTAATAAAATTGGACTCTTATAAAAGAAAATCAAACTCCTTAAACTAGGAAAATGTGGATATAACTTTCCAAATAATCACCTGAAAAAGCAAAGAAATACAATAGTTACCTTTTTATAGGATTTTTTTAGAGGTAGTACATCTTGCTGAAAGAGGTTCCCCAGAATAGGCCATGGAGTAGGTCCAGGGGGCAGCTGCACTTTTTTCTTGTACATTTGGAAAGATGAGAAAAGGGTGAAAAGTATACAGAGAAGAAGCAAAACTCCTGCCCATGTCAGCTCCATCCTCTCCTCAGTTGTTTTCCTCTTCAAAAATCCAAAAAGCTGATTAAAGAGACAAGATTGAAAGAAGGAGACCAATTGAATCCCCAATCACATCTAAATTCTTCACTTCCTCTAACCTTTATATACCTCCTTGTTTACATTCAGCTCAAATTATTCTTTCACCTCTATTAGTATAGGAGAGTTACTTATCAACATTCTTATCTTTGGACTGTGGACACCCTGGGCTAAATCCTTAAATAAACAACTCATTTTAAGCACTCTCTCTTATTTGCTGACTATACAATGACTTGTGAAAGAGTAATTAATTAACTTTTGCTACTGAACCCTGTGAAACTTACGTTTTTCTTTTTCTTTCACTGAGTTGTCACAGCCCTGAATTCAATATTATGATCATAAGTAAGTACAATGTTGTCATGACCTTTAACTGGGCAAAATGGTGCATCATGGGGCAATATTTTTTGTGAATGAAGGTGAATATACATGTCCCGGGAGAACATCACCTGTAGTCACATTCAATGTTTGGATGAGCCATATTGTAATTGTTATGTCCTGGGCCTGCTGAGTGACTCAGCAGGTGTAGGAAGCTGCAGAGATGCCCGGGCAGACCACGTGAATGCCTGGGACCATACAGGCTGTCTCCAGCCTATTGCGCATGCGCAAGGTGGGAGAAATATGTTGCATTGATTGGTTGACACTGTCCCTGAAAAGGGTTATAAAAGGAATCCGTGCCATTTTGTTTTGGTTCTGTTGGTGATTAAATAAAAAGAAGACTGTTGTTACTCCTGCCTCGTCTCAATGCCTTTACGATTGAAACAGAACAGTAATGACAGCCAAAAAGACTTTGTTACCTGTAATTGATCTGGCCACAGTGGCACATACCTTGATTCAAGGTTGACTCAGCCTTCCATCCTTCCGAGGTCGGTAAAATGAGGACCCAATCAATCAATCTGTTTATTACAGCCATAAGGCCAGACATAATCAAAATATAACAACAGTGACAATTTTACTTCCATATTTATAGAATATAAAACCATCAAACAATCAATGTAATATAATCCGAAATTCTCAAAATAAAGCATCATATTAATTTTTTTCAGACCTTGATAACGGTGCGACATATTGTGCAAATAGTGGCACAAAATTGGCCAACCTGAATTGATATTTTCGGATCCTTATCCCAAAGTGGCAACTTTAGATAAAATTCATATCCCCTTCCTGGAAACTTCTTCAATATTGGATATATAAGAATCTGTCTAGAGTATTTATATAAGCAACAATGAAGCAGCATATGGCTTAGGGTTTCTATAGAGTCATCACCACATGGACACAACCGAAGGTGCATAGGAATGCCCTTAAACCGTCCAAAAAGGACTGCCGAGGGCAACACATCCAGCCCTGGCTAAGGTGAAAGCTTTACAAAATTTCAAAATTCTAATGGAAAATATATAAGAAGATGGGGAGAAACCTTCTGTAAGCAAGTGACAAATATTGGAATGTGCCACCTTACTTAAGTTTGTTTGGAGATCAATATCCCAGATACGTTGATTCAAGGCAGTTCTAGCATTATCAAATCCTAATGAACACAGACTTTTCATAGAGAAGCCCAGCGATTTAATTTTATCTAGTGCTTTTTTTTTCCCACGACGATTTAAAATGATCTATAAATACGAACGGGGCTAACCCTACAGCCATCAAATTAACTTTAGCCAAAAGGTAAGAAGAAAGAACCATTCTCTAGCTTCCAATGAAACTAAACCTACTTCCACCTGTAGGATGGCATTTTTAACACTTTTAGGTACCATCAGTATGGCTCTAATAAACTTATGTTGAATAATTTCAATAGCATTAAGCTTTGCAAATGAACATAATTGCGAGCCATAGAGGAGCTGAGGGAATGCCTTAGCTTGGAAAAACTTACAAGCTGCCGGGATGTAGTAAGCTCCTTTAGGACAGCGGTTCTCAACCTGTGCATCACGACCCCATTTGGGGTCAAACGACCATTTCACGGGGGTTGCCAAACAACGCAGTCCGCCATTTTTTCCCCCTTTTCCTTAGCTGTGCTACTCCCTTTTATTCTATTGGCTTTTGAAAGCCAATAGAATAGACTCTCTTGAATAGAGTCTAATTCTATTGGCTTTCAAAAGCCAATAGGAATTGTCCAGGCTGTCTCTGCCCTGCTGAGCCCACCAAAAGTTCCATTCTGCAAACGGTGCTGCAAGTTGTCTGCAGCAAAGGCGAGCTGTCTGAAAGTTTCCACCCCTCCCTGCTGAGCAATTACTAAAAATGTAAGTAAAAGAGGGCCAGGGGTGGGAGGTGGGAGGCCGGCGGGTACAGGGAGGGTTGCTGGCATGCGTGGGGCCCTTGGTGGTCTCCCTTGGTGGTCTCCCTGCGCCATCACTGCCCCTTGCCAGCTATGCCTCGACCAGTGCAGGGGGCGACACCATGCATGCACGGCGCTCCCGGGCAGGGAAAGTCCTCGACTTTTGACCGGTTGGGTAGTCCTCAACTTACGACCAGTTGGGGGTCACGGCATTAAAAAGGTTGAGAACCACTGCTTTAGAATGATAAAATTTTATGATAGCTGATGAGGTGCACTGTGCAACACTTGCCAAATAAAGAAAGTGAGTATGCCAGGATAGGGAGTCATGGAACTGCACTCCAAGATATTTATAGGTACTCACCTATTCAATTGGAGTCCCATCAGTTTGTTATTTATGGATCTTATGATGGTAAGAGGCAAATAGTAAAACTTTAGTTTTTTCAAAATTTATTAATATTTTGTTTTCTATGCAAAATAAGGCTAGTGCCCTAAGTGCTTTTCTCATTCCCCCTCCGGATGCGTTACCTGATTTCAACTGGGCAATATGGATACTGGAGGCCAATCCGGGAAGTCATTACAAGGGGCGATCACTTCTGAAATTACAGCAGGAATCCGCTTAAAGATGTTTTTAAAATGATCCTCCCATTTGTCAGCAGATATTTGTGAAATAGGGCCAAAACTTCTATTTGTAAAAGGCTGATTTATTAAATGCCAGAACAAAGTAGAATTTTTGAGCTTTGCTGCTGAAATTAGATTACTCCAATTTTCTTTTATAGCCTGTTGTTTCTTTATCTTTAAGAGATTTTTATAATTTTTTTGTGGTCTTGTGTAATTTAGAAACATTCGCCGAATTTTCCTGGCGAAAGGAAATTATTGCATTTAAGAGAGCTTTTTTTTGCTTTAATGCAATCACTATCATACCAAGATTTAGATCTTTTCTGCACATGCACACAATAAGCTGTTGTAAATCTTGTCGGGGGGGGAGGGGTTGGAGATTAGTGGTAATTGATTGATACAACGAAAATGCTTGTTCATATGAATCAGATGACCAAATTTGAACATGCATATGAAGCAGGGGCTCTGAGGTCAACATTTCAGCCATAGTTTTGGCCAGTTCTTGAGACCATTTAATTTTTACTTGCCCCTTTATTGTAATATCGATGGGGCAATGTGCCACTTCTAATAATTCAAAATTTGTCTTAGCCTTAAATGGACAGATTAATGGAAAGTGGTCACTATCAAGGCGCGTTCCAATATAAAAGTAAACTATATGTTGTACAAAGTTCCAAGAGATCATAATGTAATCAAGTACACTGGCTCCCTTAGGACCCCAGAATGTGAACTCTCTGTTTAAATCACCTCTAACAGAGCCATTAAATAAGATCAAATCTAAACTATCCACAAATTGAGCCAGACGAAATCCTGCACTATTACATTTCTGATCTTTAGATTGTCTGGCTGCTATGAGGCCTACATCAATTTTAGGGGGCACTGGCCACTTAAAATATGTTTGTAGGGAAGCATCAGATTTGCCAATGCGTGCGTTAAAATCCCCAGCTATTATTATAATTGAGTCTGGGTAATGCCATGATAGCAAATTTACATAGGGATCAAACTGATCCTACAGTTTGTTTATTTCTCTATGCCCACAAAATGGAGGGAAATAGGCATTAACCAATAATACAGTGCTAACTCCATATTTGAGCAAGACTCAAGCATAGATACTGAAACACTGAGTTTAACAGATACCATAGATCTGACGGTCTGTCCTTTTTTATGCATTCAGAGTAAAGGGAATATAACAAAAATTGTGTCATTCTCGTTTGTTGATTAGGGCTAGATTCCAGAGGGCTGGTAGGCGATAGGTGTCTTCACACTTATTCATGTTGTGGGGGTGTTTTTCTATTTTGATGGCTTTCATAATTATTCTCTTGTTGTGGTGTTCAGTTTTGGAGATTAGTTTGGTTCTTTCAAAATCAATTTCATGTCCTGTAGCTTTAAGGTGATGGAAGAGGGAGGAAGTTTTTTCTTCCTTTCTGGCTGCACTCTTGTGTTCTGTGATTCGTGCATTTATTCTCCTATTAGTTTGTCCAATGTATGTGGCTGGGCAGATTTTGCATGGTATTTCATAGACTCCTTGGTTTTCTAGCTGGATTATGTCTTTGGGGTTTCTTAAGATGTTGGCTATTTTTTGGTTGGTGCCGAAGGCTGTCTTGATATTGTGTTTGTGGAGAATTTTGCTGTTTTTATCTGTGGTGCCTTTGATGTAGGGGAGGAGGGCAGGAGAAAACCCGAATAAACAAAGACCTACATATATAGTAGGCAAAGAATCTTTCTTCCAATATTGTCCAACCAATAACCTTGCCGCCGTAATAAGATTCAACATTAAAATAGTTTCTTTAACATCACAATCTACAATAGTAACTAATAAGAATAATTGTGGTGAAAACTTTATCTTTCTATTAAAAATCTTCTGAATGTTCCACTAAATGTTAATCCAAAAGGCTTTTATGTTTTTACACGTCCATCAAATGTGGTAATAAGTTGCATCCAAGCATCCACATCTCCAACACTTAGGTTGTAAATTAGGATACATAATATCCTAATTTACAGCAAAAATATCCTAAGTTTGCAAAGTTTTGATTGTTGAAGTATTCTAGAATGTTGTGACTTAATGTGTGTCTCCTGGAGACAAATTATATCCATTTTTAGCTTTTGTAGTCTATGAAATATTTTACTCCTTTTTGATGGGGAGTTAAGACCATTTATATTTATTGAAAGAATTCCAATTTCCTCCATAGTTTCAGTTGTGTCAAGATCTCAATTTTCTAGAAGAACTTATCTGCCTCTGATCTTTAGGCCTCACATCTTCCTCTGATTGAAACTTTTTAGGCGCTTCTTTCTCTGTTTGTTTCAATGTTCCTGCAGTCGTTTCCTCTGGTTTGTTAGGTTCCGCCTCACCTCTCTCCAAGATTATTAAAAAAGTCCTCTGTTGATCCTTCTGGGATCAACCATCTGAAGTTCAGTCCTTTACTGATCAATTTCCTCGTTAAGAATTGGTATTCTCTTCGAGCTTCTCTAATTCTTCTTGGGATCTGTTTGAGAACTACCAAATCTTTATCTTTGTATTTCAGAGGTTGGTCCCTCATAGTCTCAGGATCACATCCCATACTGCTCTTTTGCTGAATCTAATATGAACTTCCCTAGGCACTCTATTTCTTCTTGCATAATTTGAATTCACTCTAAAGACTTGATCAACTTCTCTATTGATTTGATCCCTTTCCATTCTGAGCAAGTCCGCCAATAACTCAGTCATCAATAGTAACAAGTTGTCATCACTCTCTTCTACCACATTTTGGAATCTTAGAAAGTATGATGCACGTTCAAACTCCATCCTTGCCATATTTTCTTCCAGCTCCGCATTAGATTGCACCAATCTTTGATTTTCATCTTGCAGAGCCTCTAATTTCTGGTCTACTACTACTGACTTGTCTTCAATATTTTGCATTTGTTGACTTCCGGTGGTGACGGCCATGGCGATGGCGGCTTTCTTCAGCCGTCCGCCCTGGGATGTGTCAAAGCCACCTGAGACAGCGAGCAACAGCTGTCTCGCAGCTTGGAAACTCTCTCCCCGGGCGAAGGGGAGGAGGTGAGCTTTCCTCAGATAGTGGTAGAGCTCCCTGAGGCCCCAATGTTTTCTTTTTTGGTGGTCAGAGGGTGAGCTCCCACGGAGTCTGATTTTTCCAGGGCAAAGCTAGACACTGCTTCCACATCTGCGCTTAAAATGAACTTGTGAGTAAATTTTAAAGCAGAAAGAGCTGACCAGGAGAGACTAAAATGGGGATTATTTCGGACTTTAACTCTGGAAAAGAACTTATCTTCTCCTTCTTTTAAAGAAGAGTGGTGAAAAATGGTGCTGAGATGTTGATTCATTGAGTGAAAGGACCGGAACTTCTACTTGGAACAATGTAACAGATTTTGTGTTTGTATAAATTGCAAGAAACTTCTTTTTTTCTTTTAAGGGGGCTTTTGTCTTTTTTCCCCTTCTCCTTTTTTCTTTGGGGGGGGGTATTTGTTGATTTTATAAGATTTTAGCAGACTTTTTATAAGTGGTCTTAAAAATAAAATGGCTTCAAAGCGTCTCGGAGCTTCTGTTGCTTCTAAAGCCTCGATCTTCCCAGTAATGCAGACAGCTCAGCAAGCTAAGTCTAAGTTTCCACCACCTTCTCCATTGTCTCCAGCATCTATACTTAAAGATTTACAGGATGCCTTGGAAAAAAAGGCATGACAGGTTAAAGAAGAGATGGAGATTTTTATTGAAAATAAATTAATGAAATTGACAGAGGACATAGCATTTGCGTTTCAAAAGTTTGTTGGTCATATAGATCTTCTGGATGAGCATTTATTTATTTATTTATGAGACTTATATACCGCTTTAAGTGCAAGCACACTCTAAGCGGTGTACACCAGTAAGCAATGTATATATATATATATATATTTACATTGCTCCCAACAATCTGGGTCCTCGTTTTACCTACCTCGGAAGGATGGAAGGCTGAGTCAACCTTGAGCCGGTGTGATTTGAACTGCTGACCTGCTGAACACAGTCAGCTAAAGTGGCCTGCAGTACTGCACTCTAACTGCTGCGCCACCTCAGCTCAGCATATTGATGATGTTGTGGAAAATTTTGAAAAACTGGAAGATCGAATTGACAAAGTGGAAAATAATGTGGAAATAATACAGGATGAAGTTATTATGTTACAATACAAAAACATGGAATTTGCTTTAAGAATAAGGGGAATGAAGGAAAATATTCAAGAGGATTTGAGACAAGTGGTGGTAAAAGATATAGCTCTTATTTTAGGAGCTGAGCCTGAAGAAATATTGAGAGAGACGGAAAAAGTTTTTAGGGTTAATTCTAGGGTTGCGAGACAAAGGAATTTGCCACGAGATGTGGTTATCTATTTTTCTAGGACAGTGGTTCTCAACCTGTGGGTCGGGACTCCATTTGGGGTCGAACGACCATTTCACGGGGGTCGCCAAAAAAACACAGTCTGCCATTTTTTCCCCTTTTCCTTAGCTGTGCCACTCCCTTTTATTCTATTGGCTTTTGAAAACCAATAAGTGCAACATATTTTTCCCGCCTTGTGCATGTGCATTAGGCTGGAGACAGCCTGTCTGGCCGAAGCAGCCTCATGGTCTGCCTGGGACTCTCTGCACCTGTTGTGTCAATCACAGCCCAGGACATAACAAAAGTGGTTTCCATTCTTTTAATCAGGAGACAGATTCGCTGTTTAAGAGACTTCAATTGATTGAGGCTATAACTGACTTGGGTGATTTGCAAACTCATAATCTGGTAAATCGCCAAGATTGGGCCTCTGCCCTGCTACTACAGAGCCCAGGAAAAGCTCAGGTGGAGGAAATATATACCATAGCTTACTAGAATCTGAAGTGTTTGCCAAAATTCCACATATTTCTTTTTTCCTGTTGGTAAAGTGCCTGTGAATAGTTTAATGCCAAAATTCAAAGAGATACTAAAAAAGTGAATTTACAAGTAAGGGATGAAAAAATTCCTAAATGTAATTGAATAATTTAACTTAGCCACAGGTAGTTCTTTAGTGTTATTAGGATTAATTATGTAATCATGCAATGTAAGATGAAGGAGCCCTGGTGGCGCAGTGGTTAAAGTGCAGTATTGCACTATAGCCTACAGTTGATCCTGATGGGGCTCAAGGCTGAATCAATCTTTCATCCTTCCAAGGTCAGTAAAATGAGGACGCAGATTGGTGGGGCAATATATAAATAATGCTCTACATTGTAAACAACCCAGAGAGTGTTGTAAAGCACTATGGGTGCTTTACAATGCCTAAATGCTTTTGCTATTGCTATGAAGCTGCTAGGCTGATTTTTACTGCCCTAAAAAGACAAATCAGGAGAGGTTTGCATAATTGTAGCCATGCATGGAACTCCCATGTGGAGAGCCTTGTCCCATAAAGCAGGTCCCTATACTGTAATTGGACTATTTGAATTCATCTATACCCCCTAAGGCAAGACTTGGACTGTCCCTTATTTGAGCTGCAAAGGCATTTAATACTTTCCCATTTCTTAATAATTTCCCAGAATGAGATTCTGCAAAGCTGGAAGGGTATATAAGAATGTTTATTTTTTTTTCTTGTTTCAAATAGAGTCTAACTATCCATTGAGGCTCTATTAAATATTGCTGAACCTTGTTTCCACCGTCCCTTTCACCCTTATTAGAGGCCATATTAAGGACAAAGTTGAAACCCAGTAAACATGCTTTCATGACCCAGTTAGGATTTTTAAAGGTAAAACACACAGGTAAAATGTAAAAAAAAAAAATCACACACCTTAAAGTTTTTCTCACTGGCCTGCATGGAGTCTACAATGCTGGAATGTTTTTTTGTGCCAGGCAGATGATGGGATTACTGACAGAGCCTGAAATGCAAATTTGTCTTGGAGGCAGCACAGCGGATTAGGCAATAACAGCTGAGAAAGCAAAAATGTCCTTTTTCCTAGGGCTAAGAGAGAATGTCATCAGACTGGCTTTCATGGCTAAAGTAAGGCTTGAACCCCCATTCTTTTACTTTCTAGTCTGGTGCCTTAATCTCTAAACCAAACTGGCCCTTTTATAAAAGCTTGCTTTTTCCTTGATTCCAAGGAAAAGGAAAACAGATTTAGTTTACACATTTTAGCAATAACTTCTCACCCCTTGCAATACTAAGGATTCCAAATGCATTATTAATGATAAATCCAGATTAAAATGCAAAAATCACTCTAATGTTGCCATACAATATATGCTAACGTCAAATCTTCTGAACCATATCTTAAACTGACCATAAACTTTTTCTTGCTTCTTACATCCTATCTAGACCAGTCTTTTAATTCCTTCTAAAGCTGGCATTCATTTCTCAAAATCCCCTTTCTACAAACAGTTGCAAAGTATTAACTTCCCTACAAGCAAAGCATATACAATTATGAAAATCAAAGCTGTAAGCATGGCAGCTGTGCTTATCTCTACATGCCACTCATCTCTTACAATTCACTGTACAAATACAAAGATCTTGTGCCCTTCTAACTAATTCTTAATTGTGCAAGTGTCTCTGTTTTTAGCAAAAAGGTTGAAACTGCTTCTCCTTTTAACAAGGAAACCCTTATTGTTTTTAAGGAGGGGAAAAAAAGGAAGGTATAAGATTTCCCCACTCCCCTCCCCCCACTGCTTTCCTTCTTCTCTGCATGTATTTGGAACATGTTTAAACTTTAATGATTATTAATTTTAAAATGGAAATATTAAATTAATTATGTCTAGATTATCTAGCTCAAAACTCAGCATGTGTTAATTAAACTTTTTTTTTTTTTTAAAGGGAGGCACTCCTTTGTGAGCAGAAGGATTTAGGGTGATAACAGGCATGTCTCTAGCTAGAGTTGATTGCCCATAACTGCACAGCTGGGGAAGAACCACCTGCCTCCTGTCACAGGCCACAGGCTGCACCCTCAGGACCTTTTCTAAATGCACACTGTGGTGGCACCTAGCAACCCACACTACTGCAGTTCAGCCAAAGCTTGGGGAGGAGTTCTTGCAAAGTTGGAATTTTATGGAACTTTATGGAGTTTTTTTCCAAGTAAGGCCTCAGCCAGATGGCCCACCAAATCCTCAGTGAAAAACCCAAGCTTCCTCTGACACCCAAAGAGTCCATCAGGCACCTTAGATGGCTGGGTTAAAAACCCTGTCTCCCTGACCTCCGGTGATGACGGCCGTGGCGATGGCGGCTTTCTTCAGCCGTCCGCCCTGGGATGTGTCAAAGCCAGCTGAGACAGCGAGCAACAGCTGTCTCGCGGCTTGGAGCCTCTCTCCCCAGGCAAAGGGGAGGAGGTGAGCTTTCCTCAGATAGCGGTAGAGCTCCTAAGGCCCCAAGGTTTTCTTTTTTGGTGGTCAGAGGGTGAGAGCTCCCACGGAATCTGGGGTGTTCTCCACATTCCAGGATGCCTTTGCCCTGATTTTTCCAGGGCAAAGCTAGACGCTGCTTCCACATCTGCGCTTAAAATGAACTTGTGAGTAAATTTTAAAGCAGACAGAGCTGACCAGGAGAGACTAAAATGGGGATTATTTCGGATTTTAACTCTGGAAAAGAACTTATCTTCTCCTTCTTTTAATTAAGAGTGGTGAAAAATGGCACTGAGGTATTGATTCATTGAGTGAAAGGACCAGAACTTCTACTTGGAACAATGTAACAGATTTTGTATTTGTATAAATTGCAAGAATCTTCTTTTTTTCTTTTAAGGGGGCTTTTGTCTTTTTTCCCCTTCTCCTTTTTTCTTTTTTTTGGGGGGGGGGGGTTATTTGTTGATTTTATAAGATTTTAGCAGACTTTTTATAAGTGGTCTTAACCTTGGAAATTTTGCTGATCAAAATTCGTGAATCACCTAATATAAAAGGAATAGAAATCAATAAAAATGATTATAAATTAAGGGCCTTTGCAGATGATTTGGTTGTTACTTTGTCTCAACCAACTTATTCTGTAATGGAGTTGTTACAATTGATAAATCAGTTTGGACAAGTTTCAGGTTTCAAGATCAATAATAATAAGACTAAAATATTGTCAAAAAATCATGACCAACTTGGATAAGGAGATTTTAGTTAGACTGACAGGTTTCGAGGTTGTTAATAAGGTAAAATATTTGGGGGTTATCTTATCTGCTTCCAATGCAAAACTGTATAAAAATAATTATGAAAGGCTGTGGTTTAAAATACAAAAGGATTTAGAGAATTGGAAAAAGCTGCAATTGTCTCTATTGGGGAGAATAGCAGCGATTAAAATGAATGTCTTGCCAAAGTTTCTTTTTCTATTTCAAATGATACCTATTTTAAAAAAAGAAGCAAACCTAGATGAATGGCAGAAAGGTATCAATACATTTATCTGGGCAGGGAAAAAACCAAGAGTAAAACTTAAAATTATACAAGATATACGAGAGAGAGGTGGACTCAAGGTACCGAATTTGAAATTGTATTATGATGCTGTGGTTTTAACATTAATTAGTGATTGGGTTAATTTAACAAATGTAGATATACTCCTTTTGGAGGGGTGGGATTTATTATTTGGATGGCATGCCTATTTAATTTATAATAAAAAAGTTGATAGGGTTTTTAAGTATCATATTTTAAGAACTTCTTTACTTCGGGTTTGGAAGAAATATTATAGAATTGATTCAAGAATTCCATTATGGGCTATTCCATGGCATGCAATAGAAGGAATACAGAAAGGAGTTAAGATGGATAGTATTTCTTATATACAATTACTTAAGTGGGATGGTAAAAATTGGCAATTAAAATCTATAGATGAATTAGCACAAGAAAATATTAACTATTCATGGTTTCAGTATAGACAATTATTGGAAAGGTGGAAGATAGATTATAAAGTGGGTTTGCTTAGAGAGGATGAGAACTTGCTAAAACAAATTAGAGATCAAAGTCGAACCCACATAAAAAGAATTTATGGTGTATTAGTGGAATTGGATTCAGAAGCAGAATTAGTTAAAGATTGTATGGTTAGATGGGCTCAAAATTTTGATGAACCGATTTTATTAGATACATGGGAGACTATTTGGGTGAGGAATGTTAAATTTACACAAGCGCAAAATTTACGGGAAAATTTCTATAAAATGTTTTATAGATGGCACCTTGGTCCACAAAAAATGTCTCGTATGTATTCAAATTTGCAGCCTAAATGTTGGAGATGTGGTTGCTTGGATGCAACGTATTATCATATCTGGTGGTCATGTAAAAGCATAAAAGCCTTTTGGATCAAGATATGGTGGAATATTCAAAGAATTTTCAAAAGAAGGATAAAATTTACCCCAAATTGTTTTTGTTGGGTATTGTTTCTGATTGTGATGACAAAGAGATTATTTTAATGTTAAACTTAATTACAGCTGCAAGGTTGTTAATAGGGCAATATTGGAAGAAGGAATCTTTGCCTACTTTGCAGGAATGGTTTTTTAAAGTTTCTTACTTAGCTGAAATGGCAAAAATTTCGGCTTTTTTGAAAGATCAATCGCAAGAGAAGTACCTCTTGGTGTGGAAAAGATGGATAAATTTTATACAATATAAGTATGACATAAGAAAATATCATTTAGCTTTTGAATAACTTATATTTAAAGTTTAAGATATTATTTAGAAGTGTAGAATAGTTTTGTTTTTTTATTATTTTTTTATTTTTTTTCTTTTCTTCTTTTTCTCTTTCTGTTTTTTATATATAATGGAGTTAAAGTATTTAATAATTTGTTTATTGAATGTAATTATATTTGTTTGAGGTTTATTTGGGTTTAAAAGTTTTTTTCTTTTAAGTTCTAGTTAACCCTGTATTCAGCTCTGGGAAGAATGGGGGAGGGTTTTGGGGTGGGTTGGGAGGGATTGGGGAAGGGTTTTTTATTGTAAAATTGTAAAAATTTATAATAAAAAAAATAAAATAAAATGGCTTCAAAGCGTCTCAGAGCTTCTGTTGCTTCTAAAGCCTCAATCTTCCCGGTAATGCAGACAGCTCAGCAAGCTAAGTCTAAGTTTCCACCACCCTCTCCATTGTCTCCAGCATGTATACTTAAAGATTTACAGGATGCCTTGGAAAAAAAGGCACGACAGGTTAAAGAAGAGATGGAGGTTTTTATTGAAAATAAATTCATGAAATTGTCAGAGGACATAGTGTTTCCGTTTCAAAAGTTTGTTGGTCACATAGATCTTCTGGATGAGTGTATTGATGATGTTGTGGAAAATTTTGAAAAACTGGAAGATCGAATTGACAAAGTGGAAAATAATGTGGAAATAATACAGGATGAAGTTACTATGTTACAATACAAAAACATGGAATTTGCTTTAAGAATAAGGGGAATGAAGGAAAATATTCAAGAGGATTTGGGACAAGTGGTGGTAAAAGATATAGCTCTTATTTTGGGGGCTGAGCCTGAAGAAATATTGAGAGAGACGGAAAAAGTTTTTAGGGTTAATTCTAGGCTTGCGAGACAAAGGAATTTGCCACGAGACGTGGTTATCTATTTTTCTAGGAGATCACTTCATAATGAAATTTTACAGCCATTTTATAAGCAGAGATTTCAAATTGCTCAAGATGTTATAATTTTAAAAGAAATACCTTCAAAAATTCTTAGAAAAAGAAAGGATTTTGCTTTTTTGGTTGATGAGCTCAAAAAACGCCAGGTTCGATTCAAATGGGATATATCGGTTGGAATAGTCCTGAAGCATGCGGGGATATATTATAGACTTAATACAATGTCAAAGGCGAAAGATTTTTACATTTCGGTTTTGAAGGTGGGTTCTCCATTATCTTTACGACCTGAGATAATAGAAGAAAAGTTGGAAGAGCAGCTGGTTGAAAGTGCTATGCTATTGGATGTGGGAGACAAACAGGCTGAACCTTTGCAGCAGTCTCTTGATACAGAAGATTTTTTAAAGGAACCGAGAATGACTCATGCAGCCTATAGACGTAAATTAAAAGAACTGCAGAAGATGGATGTTGGAATAAAGAAAAGGAAATGATGAACTTTTGCAGTAGTTTTTTGAGATAGAAGATGTTTTAAAGGAAAAGTGAATGATTTGTATTTAGTATGTTTTAAAGGTACAGTGAATGATTTGTGTAGTAAGTACCGTAAATGCCGGCGTACAAGGCGACCCGGCATATAAGACGACCCCCGTCTTTATAGCCGGGCCGCATTCCTAGAATGTCATCTTATACGCTGGAAACTACCAGTATTCCCAGCGTATAAGACGACTCGGCGTATAAGACGACCCCCGTCTTTGGCGCCGATTTCAGCGCTCGCGGAAGTTGCCTAATACACCGGCATTTATGGTAGATGTAAAGTAAAAGAATAATAGAAGGTGTTGATTTAGTGCAGTGGTTCTCAACCTGTGGGTCGGGACCCCATTTGGGGTCAAACAACCATTTCACGGGGGTCGCCAAACCACACTGTCCGCCATTTTTTCCCTTTTCCCTAGCTGTCCTACTCCTTCTTATTGGTGGCCACACCCACTTAGGGGTCACCACAACATGGGGAACTGTATTATGGGGTCACGGCATTAGAAAGTTGAGAACCACTGATTTAGTGGAAAAGTTTAAATATTTGGGAATATATATATTATAAATTCTTAATTTAAAGTGAAAAATAATTATGAGATATTATGGGTAAATGTGTAAAAGAATTCAAAATTTTAATGATCTCTGTTGGTGAGAATTTTAGAAGATGAATGTTTTGCTGAAACTTTTTAAGTAGGAGGGTATTAATAGACTTTCTTAGGGGTAAAAAGCGAAGAGCCAATTTTATCGAACATAAGTTTGTTGGTTAGGTTATATTGGAGGGAAAATTTTGTGTTTATTATGGACGAATGGTTGTTTAAAAGAAATATACACCTCAGCGAGGTGAAGATGGATAAATTATATGTAGAGTAAATATGGGTTATGATATGGGTTTAAAATGCATTATGCAGATTATGAATTATTTATAGTTTTTAATTTGGAAATGCTTATATTGTTATTTTTTTTCCTTTTTTGTATTTGAGTTAAAGTATATTATCGATTTTATTATTTGTATAGTTGGATAAGTTTATTTAGAATTTGTTTGTTTATTTGTAACCCTGTAACCAGCTCTGGGAAGTGAGGAAGGGATGGAGGGAGGGGGTTATTTTAGGGGGGGATATTGTTTAAAACTTATATAAAACTTTTCAATTAAAAAAAAACCCTGTCTCCCTGTGAGGTGGGGTGACATCTAGCAAACCAGAAAGTATCTAGAGAATGATTTTGTTAGAGAATTTTAATTTCTCTATTGGTAAAAAATAAATCAGAAGCTCTCACAGTTGGCTGCATTTAGCTGATTCAAATAACTTTATATTTATATAAAAATATTTACAATACCATTCTTCTTTACAGCAACATAGCTTAATTGAAGACTTCTTACAGAGACAAACCAGAGACAAAACCTTGAGACTGGAAATCCAGCTCCTAACTCAATACTCTTTTGCACAGACTCAGTAGCACTTTCCTCACATTGGCTAACCGAGTTACCACATGACTCTTCCTGTTCATGAATATTCCAACAGATTTCACCATGGCAATGGAATGAATGTGATGTTCTCCAAAACTAGTTATGTTACAACTGCCACAAGACAAAAATTAGTGTCTAGTCCCTGGTATACATTGGGTGTAGTGATTTGGGACAAGTCCATGGTTGCCATGATGGCCATAAACTCCTGGACTATCTTAGACTCATGGCTACCAGATGTGAAGTTGAAATATCCATGAACCAACAGTCTCAGGGTCTCTATTATCAACTCAACAACAGATCCAGAAGCTCAAGCAGACATGATGCCAATCAACAGGAAATATACCAGCAGCAACCAGCAGAGTCCAAATTCAAATAAAGGATCTCACATCCAGTTGGCATCACTGGCCTCCAAATCCACAATATAACTTGCAGATGACAACTGCCAATAGGAGGTTCTTCTTAATTTCCCCATAAAATGTTATCAGAAAAGAGGTAAGAGTAATTATTTTTATTTCCCATAAAAAGTGTTCTCCACAATCATTGTATTTGTATTCCACATCAGTTTCAAGATTGCCTTTAAAAGTAATAACTATTCGGTATGCTTTATTTGAGTATTTACTATCATAGGTCAGCCAATCCAATTCCTAGCCTTACAAGGAGCAATTTGTAGGATAGAACATGTGCCATGAAGGAAGAAAAGTGGGAAGGGGGAAATGGAGGGACAGGAGGGGGGAAGGAAGGAAGGAAGGAAGGAAGGAAGGATGGAGAAAGAAAAAAGAAAGAAAAGAAAAGAAAGAAAAAAAGAAAGAAAGAAAGAAAGAAAGAAAGAAAGAAAGAAAGAAAGAAAGAAAGAAAGAAAGAGAGTTGTCACTTATCATGATCTTGACTCCTTTCCTTGTCTTAATTATTGAACACAAGTGTCCACTGAACGATTAACAGCTCGTATAAGGAGGGATTGATTCTTATTTTGGGATATCATAAACAGAGACATTATATCCATGTCTTTGGTGTCCCCATCCAGAGAGAAGGTGAAGTTCTGGAGCAAAGTGCTGAAGAACAGGAAGACCTCCATCTTAGCCAGAGCCTCTCCTGGACAGGCCCTCTTCCCTGAAATTGCAAACAAGAAAACAAAGCTTATTCAAAGCTGATTAAAGAATAACATGGATCAGGCATGCATATGAATTGGTAATACTATCTGTCCCAGAGGACTGTACCTGCTGAGAATGGCATGAAAGCATCTCTTTTCCTGAATTGGCCCTTTTCATTCAAAAAATGATCTGGGTTGAACTTCTCTGGAGTCTCCCAATGGAGAAGATCACGGTGTACTGAGGAGAGGACTGGCACAATAGCCATGTACTAGAAGAAGGAGGTAAAGAAACAGATGACATTAATTGGTGCTACTTCATCCAGAGAATAAAGAGCCTCACTTGTGTCAAATAAAATAGGCCAGCAGGGAGCAATCTGCAAACATTCTGAAATGCAATGAAGAAAGAGAGATTTGATTTAATTAATTAATTTATTAAATTTGTATACTTCCCATATCCAAAATGACTCTAGGCAATTCACAATGCCATAAATAATACATATTAATTCATACTTATTCAAACTGCCTTGAATATGAAGGATCTTTGACTATATAACAGTGAGTGCTTTTTTGTAAAAAACAAAAAGGTGGTGGAACTCACACAGGTCATACAACCTGCCTTGCCTATCCTACAAGGTTTACCTTTGTAGTTGAAAAAAACCCTTCAGTTTTTAGTGTATCTAAAAGACTGGGATTTTATTCAAGGTAAGTTAATAATATTAATGTTACCATGCACAAATCCGTTGAAAAAGGGTGCTGGAAATCCATTCTAGTGTGTTCTATGACCAAAAAAGCCCTCATAACAATCATCTATTTTTTTTCCTCTGCAGAATATTTTTATCAGTAATTATTATTGCCACACCTTGGGAATGTTGTAACCATGGAACTTTACATCACAAGTTGTTGCCCGTGGAAAGTTTTCAAGGCTCTCAGGCCCATAACGTTGAACCTCATGGACCACAGCATTTGTGAAAGGCATATTCAACCGGTCTTCCATGCTTGGAGTGCGATTTGTACCCACTACCTCATCAATCTCTTGTTGAACCTTAGCTGTGAGAAAAATATATTGAGATGAAATTAACAATCTTTTCCTGTATTGTACTGAGCACCTTCAGTCAGCTACCACTTGAATAGAAACATGTTTTCCAAAGCACGTTCAGAGAAGATACTTCCAGTCAGGAAAATGGCTCTTCCTCAAAGTCATTTCTCAGTGGAGACCATTTCAATTTTTCTAGTGCAAGAAGACTATGTTATGGTTGAAATTATGAAAGCTGGTGATCACAGCTTACACAAGATACTAGCAAAGCTGTACTTGAGTTAGTAATAGTAATAGTAATAGTAGTAAAGTTGGAAGGGACCTTGGAGGTCATCTAGTCCAACCCCCTGCTCAGGCAGGAAACCCTACACCATTTCGGACAAATGGCTGTCCAGTCTCTTCTTAAAAACTTCCAGTGTTGGAGCATTTACTGCTTCTGGAGGCAGGCTGTTCCACTGATTAATTGTTCTCACTGTCAGGAAGTTTCTCCTTAGTTCTAGGTTGCTTCTCTCCTTGATTAGTTTCCACCCGTTGCTTCTTGTCCTGCCTTCTGGTGCTTTGGAAAATAGCTTAATTCCCTCTTCTTTATGGCAGCCCCTGAGATATTGGAATACTGCTATCATGTCCCCCCTTGTCCTTCTCTTCGTTAAACTAGACATACCCAATTCTAGCAACCGTTCCTTATATGTTTTAGCCTCCAGTCCCCTAATCATCTTTGTTGCTCTTCTCTGTACTCTTTCTAGAGTCTCAACATCTTTTTTACATCGTGGTGACCAAAACTGGATGCAGTATTCCAAGTGTGGCCTTACCAAGGCATTGAAGAGTGGTATTAATACTTCACGTGATCTTGATTCTATCCCTCTGTTAATGCAGCCTAGCACTGTGTTGGCCTTTTTGGCAGCTGCAGCACACTGCTGGCTCATATTTAGGTGATTGTCTACTAGGACTCCGAGGTCCCTCTCACAGTTACTACTATTGAGCATGGTGCCACCTATGCTGTACTTGTGCATTTGGTTTTTCTTGCCTAAATGTAGAACCTTGCTTTTTTCACCATTGAATTTCATTTTGTTAGTTAGTGCCCAGTGTTCAAGTCTGTCCAGATCCTTCTTTATATTAAGCCTGTCTTCTGGAGTGTTGGCTATTCCTGCCACCTTGGTGTGATGAGTTCCCCATCTATCCCTTCATCCAAATCATTGATGAAGATGTTGAAGAGCACTGGGCCCAGAGCAGAGCCCTGGGGCATCCCACTACACACTTCCCTCCATATAGAGGCAGTTCCATTGAGGACGACTCGCTGAATACGGCCGGTCAGCCAGCTACGGATCCATCTGGTGGTGATTCTGTCTACCCCACATTTTTCTATCTTATCAAGTAGTAGGTTGTGATCTATTTTATCAAATGCCTTACTGAAGTCCAAGTAAATTATGTCCACAACATTCCACTGATTTTGTCACTTGGTCAAAGAATGCAATAGGATTTGTCTGGCATGATCTATTTTTGACAAACCCATGTTGGCTTTTAGTAATGACTTTGTTTGCCTCTAGGTGTTCGTTGATTCGTTGTTTGATTATCTTTTCCAGGATCTTCCCAGGTATTGAGGTCAGGCTGATAGGTCTGTAATTTCCTGGATTCATTTTTTTCCCCTGTTTTGAGGATGGGAACTACATCAGCTCTTTTCCAGTCCTCTGGTAGTTACCCTGTGTTCCAGGATCTTTGAAAAATATAGTTCAGTGGTTCCAATATCACATCTGCCAGTTCCTTGAGAACTCTGGGGTGTAATCCATCTGGTCTTGAGTTGCCTCAGAAAAGAAAAAATAACCGATGAATGGAAAAATGCTGAAGTGATTCTTATACACAGGAAAAGGGCCCAATATGATTTAAAGAACTATTGCCCAATAAGCCTCCTTTCCCACAATGACAAGGTTTTCACCAAGATAATAGCAAAAAGAATATTGAGAACATTAAATGATGCACAGCTAAAGGAGCATGCAGGGTTCAGAAGTGGTTACAGCACAATAGATCACATCCAAGTTGTTCATCAAGTCATTGAAAGGTACAACAAATACACCATGCCTCTGTGCATGGCTTTCATTGACTACAATTTCATTGACTACAACTCCAGCAAGCAATAATTAGGGCATTGCTCAACCAAGGCATAGATACTTCTTACATAAACATACTACAATCAATATATGAAAACCAATGGCAGCAATTTGCCTTAATGATCTTAAAGTGGAAATCAACATAGAACAAGGTGTACGACAAGACAATACAATATCCCTATTCTTTTCTCAGTCTGCCTTTAAGAAGTATTTTGCAAACTAGCCTGGGCAAAAAATGGAATAAAAATCACTGGCGCTTATTTAAATCACTTAAGATTTGCAAATGATATTGTTCTCTTCTCCCAAGATCCAGAAGAGCTACAAATAGACATATGAGAGCTGCACAAAGCAGGAGAACCATTTGGCTTAAAAATAAACCTGAAAAAGAGCCAGGTTATGTTTAATAAATTCACCAAAGAAAGAAAAAAAATATATTTGAAGAAGAACTAGATATAGTAGACCACTGCATATACTTTGGCCAATGGATGTCAATGGAAGGTGATACAATAAAGGAAATTGATCGACACGTTAAATGTGGTTGGTAGGCACTCAGCAAGCTAAGTATAATTTTTAAGAACAACTTCCCCCTATGCCTGAAGAGAAAAGTTTTTGATCAGTGTATACTACCTGCTCTAACATATGCCAGTGAAACATGAACATTAACCTCACAATCGATACAAAAGCCACAAGTGGCATAAAGAGCCATAGAAAGATACATGCTCAGCATTACAAGACAAGATAGAAAGACCTGCATGTGGATTAGAGTACAAACGAAAGTATATGATATCTTCAAGAAGAGTAAAAGAACTGAAATGGAAATAGGCCAGTCACATAGCAAGAAGAACTGATGGCAGGAGGACCAAGGCAGTCATAGAATGAATCCCACTCGATAAAAAGTGTCCACGAAACAGACCTAAAACAAGATGGATCGACAACATCAGCAAGTTTTGTGGGCCCAATTGGCAGGACTGTATGGGTCTTTGACTGTAATAAACTTGAACTTGAACTTCATCACGCAATGGATAGAGAATGGTAAAAATGATGATGAGAATGAATATTATGTGCCAGCAGAGTACAAACAATTTATTCCCTCAAAAACCTCAAGGTTCATTTCCAAAGAAAGAATGCTTCAGGATACAGCTGCCAGTCAATTTTGCGGGGGTATTGTAGATTAAGATTTATAATATTGTCACTGCTTATAGCAGTATGGTTCAAATGTTAAGGATGATATCTTGAGTTAAAAGGATGTGGGTTTATACTGATACAAAAATGATTCTTAAGAAAAGCTATACCATATTAAATTAATCATTCATACTAGGACTCCTTAAAGCAAGTACTCAATTAATTAATTGATCTGCCTTAAGGCTGTATGAAGGAAAAGACTGCTGCTGTTAAAGCGTTCAATCACATCTTGCCTCTTCATGATCTAATGCAGTGGTCCCCAACCTCTCTGGCTCCATGGACCGACAGCAGTAGTGGCGGCAGGAGGGAGGGTTTGGTTTTGCATGTGCAACTTAACTCCCATGCATGCTCAAATGAAGCCTCAAGCACTCGCCTCCTGCTTGCATGGCCTGATTCCCAACAATTCTGGTCCAAGGAGACAGGATTGGGGACCCTTGATCGAGTGGATATTATTTTACTAGAACTGTCTTTGTGTAATCTCAGGATTCGATGGAAGCCCTGTTGTTCCAAGGGCATGTTATTTAAACTGGGAAATAAACAAAACAAAACAAAACATTCTGTAAGAAGATCTTGGCAAACACTTCCCAAAACCTGCCAGGAAAACTGCAGAAATACAGCTGCAATGAGTTTACTTTACTCAACAGCATCCTTACTTTATTTTTTTCCAGGATTATTAATGGAAGTCCTAAAGCAGGGGTCTTCAAACCTGGTCCTTTTATGATTTGTGGACGTCAGCTCCCAGAATTCCTCAGCTAGAGTGCTTGGCTGAGGAATTCTGGGAGTTGAAGTCCACAAGTCACAAAAGGGCCATGTTTGAAGAGCCCTGCCCTAAAGAGTTGACACCTTTATATATTTGTAGTTATTTCTGTACCTTGAATGTGTGGCAATTTAGCCATTGCTAGGAGGCTGCGTAGCAAAGTTTGGCTTGTGGTTATTGTCCCAGCAGTAAAGAGAGCAAGCACAGTAATCACAAGATCTTCAAGAGTGTAGATTCCCTCAGATGAGTTCTGCTCCTGAAAAGAAAATAGAAAGGGAAACAGAAGGATGAAAATGGGATTGATTTAAAGTAATTTATGAAACTCTTCATAGTGTTTCTTTCAGTTAAAGGAAACTTAACTGACTAACTTTAGAATATATAGGAGAATTTTTCAATTGTAAAGCATTTATGCAATCACCATTTGATGCAGAGAGGAAACAATTTGCCTGTCTGACCTACCTATCAAATATTTACCACAAGAAATTACGAGAATTAAAGGTTGTTATTTAGAGCTGGACAAAAGCAACTCTTAAGCTGTATGGTGGGAAAACTGGATTAGATCTGAGCATAGAAGCTTGAATGTTACATCTGAGAGACTAATTCTAATAGAAATTGCTCCTGCAAGATGAATTATTATCTTTATATCACCTATTAAGAGTGTAGAAGAGGTGTAAATTAGCATGTAAAGCAAATGTCTATACTTATTCATTTTTAATTATGTCGGGCATAGGAGTACATGTTAATAAATGGCAAATTGAAGTAATAAAAAGGGGGATAAATATTTTCATATTCTTTCATACAAGATGAACTAGTTTCATCTTAGATACATATTGGAGATATTTAGACAGTTATGCAGAGATGGTATCTATGCCTACCTTCTCCATTCTGTGAAGGAAGCAATCAATATAGTCACACGCGTTCTGGGGATCCAATGTCTTCTTGTGCAATTCCATTTTATCACGGATATAATCATAGACTTTTTCTGTCTCAGACTCGATATGTCGTCCAAAAAAGTATTCCATTGTTTTTGGAAAAGTATTGTACACCTGTTGCAGAGTTGACGTTAAACAGTATATGTTTTTAGACCATAATGGTGAAGGCTTAATGCCCAAAATATTCAGAGATTAGTTTTTAGTCTGATATTGTTAATTATCAAACCTCAGCTAGGTGCCAAGACCAAGAAGACAGGTTTCACAAGAATTTCAGTAAGCTATCTTTAATTTTAGTGTTGAGTAAATACAGTGTCTTAGGAACTACTGCATGGTAGGAATTTTTATTCATAATAAGTTGGTTAAAAAGGAATCTCTTTGACAAGCCTTTTCCCCAGATCTTTCCTCACCTAGGCTGAGTTCCCTGCAGGATATATTCTGTCAAGGCCCACCCCAGCTATCCCATGAAGGGATAATGATGAAAATGATGACAGTTCTTGAAGCAGGGAGGAAAGAGGGACATAAGAATAGGGGAAATGTCTAAAAATGCCATGAGAAGAAGAAAGGTGCCTGTGCATAATTTGATATGATGATTATCAAATTATATATAGTTAAATATGTAGCATTGTACTTTTAAAAACTATTATATCTTTCAGTTTGATCACAATATTGATATTCCTCTTATATCACAAACCTAATAGCTTGGGGGATAATGCTATTGTCATTTCTTAGAACAACATGGAAATAGGTTTGAGAACTAAAGTTAACTTTTCAGTCAAGGGATGAAAAAATTAAGTGAAACATTACAATTAGGAGGAATCAACCCCTCCAGTGAAATTCCATGTTTGGCTCTCCCTGACTAATTAAGAAATGGGCAAGTCCTAGAAATAAGCAGGTCAGGGCCCACAGCAGTTACGAGAGAATGAAATGATCCTGTGGGAAATAAGCCCAGCCAGGAAAGAAGGTTTGCTGAGAAGCAATTTATATTTTGATGGCTCAGTCTTGCTGGACGTCTGGATTTGACTTCTCCTGCTTAGTAGCTCATCACATCTACAGTAATCTCCACATCCCTTATTTGGATATTCGAACACAAAGAGAGGCCCACTAGTAAAAATTAGTGTTTATAGCAGGAAGAGCATCAGAGAGGAAAAACATACCTGTCCTAGGAAACTAGTCAGAAATCTTATTTGATACTCCACAATCTGCTGGTTCTCTATGAAGGTTTGATCTTTGTAATCAAATCGATTGCCAAAGACGACTGCACAGATCACATTAGAAACAGCACTTGCCAAATTTCTTCTTGGGTCAAAAGGCTGCCCTGCAACAAAGGCCACAGACATTAATGGGAGGGATCAAAGAATGGGGAACTTCCCTTCCACAATTCTCATCACAGAACTTCAACAAAAAAAGTGTGTTTGGGTCAAAGAAGTTATTCAAAGATTTTATTGGTATTTTTTTAAATAAATAATATTAAATAGAAGAGCCTAGATATAATTAAATGAAAACATCTATCTTATAACCACTAGGGTTTTTTTTGAAAACTTTCTTGCTATCTTCTGTCAAGAATTGTTTTCTCACTCCTTTCTCTGCCCTTTTCTGCTCATGGTGGGTTTTTCCCTCCCTGTTCCTTCCCTTAGAAGTTTCTATTTCCAGTTTTCATTCTCCTGACTGTCTCTCCCTCCACCTTCTAATTTCTTTCTTCTTTCTTTTTAAAATATAATCCTATTATTTCATTTCTTTCCCCTTCTGATTCCAGAGATTTGTGCATTCATGATTATATTCAAAAGGGGCACAAATCTTTAGAGGAATACTATTTATGACTATATGTTTTCCTTTCTAGTTTTGGATTACCTATGTCATTCATCCATAACTTCTTTTGCTGGCTCTTGAATTTCCCTGATATATAATCATGTTCAAATGAATTGTTTAAACAGTTTTTTTGGCTTCTTGTCCCAGTTTTAACTGAGCACTCTTTTCCCTCAACACTGTCTCCTTCTAATCTATCCAACTCTTTTAATATATATATATATATATATATATATATATATATATATATATATATATATATATCCCATTCACATTTTTTTTCTATTTATTTTTTTAAATCTCCTTCCAGAAAAGACTTGTCCATGGAACATAATTTTCCAAGATGCTACATCTCCTGGAAAAAAAAAAATTATATCTGTCAAGCAGGAGGCAAATCAGGCGATCCAGGCAGTTGAAATGGGTATAAAGATTTATTGTAACCTTAAGCTCTCTACAAGAATCTGAACTAATAATGGCCAAAGGAAATTAGCGGGAGATAAGAGTAGAAAGATTCAAGATAGGCTGGATGTAGATCTCTTGTGGGCATGAAGGGACTCATGACTGATGATTTGTTTGATCCCTCCCTTGGGATCAGCCTGGTCATTTCCTACAATAGCCTTAATTCAAATCCACACCACCTCACAGATCTCCATCACTCATGCAGTTGATTCCTATCCATATTTTCCTTACCTCATTTATTTTACACACACACACACACACACACACACACACACACACACACACACATACACATATCTAAGTTTTTCTTTATTTTGTGCACTTAAGCACAGATGATTTGAGTTTCAGTTTAGAATCTAGTTTTCCTGTAACTTCACATAAAACAACAAACCCTTTCCAGTTTCATATTTTAAAAGATAATAGTCTTCCTGATATGATTCTTCTGTGGGAGAACAGGTCTCAGTTTCTTTAGACGACCTTTTGTGGCAGCCATTTCCTTCACCAGACAAAGAGCTTCCTCCTGCACCCTCTCAGACATTCTTTTCTTCCCCATCCCAAAATCTCGCAAGGTGGACAGTGTGAACCGTCGCAGCTCCCTCCATTTCTTCTCATCATTTGTAGATATTCCTGAAACAAAAGACACCAAAAGGATCATGATGTTGGTCAATTCTCAGCTTTTGTGGAAGAGCATGTTTCGATATAATATTTCAGGCACTTTTCTTTTTCAAATCTTTGTTTCAATCATAGGTGAAAGAGGCTACTACACTGCAATAAATTATGCATCAGAGAAATGTCCTTCCTCACATTTAAAGTAAACAAGGCTTGATGTTTGAAATACCAATGAAGCAAACGTCACAGTTGCCATCTTTCCATTCTTGACTGCTGTCATAAGTGTGTTATAGATAGAAAGAAATCCCTACACTAGACATGGAACTCTATACTGAGATGCCATTTTCAGTAAGCAGAAGAAAATTGGAGTCGTTTTGAGTTGTGGATTTTATTTTATTATTATTATTTGCTGTAGAGGCTTTATTGACAAAAATAAATCACTTCCAATTATGTATGTACTAGCTTGCTTGATTGTGTGCTAACAAGTTACTCTCAATTCTTAGCTACCTTTAGATTTCCTCCAACACAATCTATCCCTAACCTAATTCTTCAGGAATTGTAAGGGTACATTTGTCATCATTTTAACTGAGTTCATTGACGTTGCAAATGGCCATCCTCTTCCTTTTATCTTTCTCACCATTATACCCTCCTCTAGGGAGCTAGACTTTTGAACCATACTATATGCCCGAAGAATTATAATTTTAGTGTGGTTATTTATGCTTTGAGTGGAAATTCTGAGCTGATTTGCTCAATGAGCTATTTGTTTCTTATTTTTGGATGTCCACAATGTTCTCAGAGATTTTATCCAACATCAAAATCAATATTCTTTCTCTCCTATTTATTCAAAGTCCAAATTGCCAAAGTATCCTCTTTGAAGTCTGCCTTCCCAAAGGACCAGTTTAAAGGTGAGATTACTTTTTTTTTTTTTTGAATGTAAGGAACAACCAGAACAGATTTCAGAAGTGATCAGGGGAAGCGAAATGATGAAAAAAAGGTGTTCCTCCCTCTTCAAAAAACATGACCAGATCAACCTCTTTACAAAACTTCATTTCAAGTGAAACTTTCATAACTATCAATAATATTAAGAGCATTAAAATAATTTTGAGGTAGATGGAAAATTGCCATTAAGAGAAATTACTTATAAAATTATTTATACAAAATAAAAAAGAGCAACAACAAATAAAGAAATAAAAGCGAATCAACCTTTATTTTGGAACACTCGTGTGTGAAAGGGCGTATTAGTTCGCCCACCAAATTCTTCTGCTTGATTTATCAAAGCATCTTTTACCACCTCATATCCACAAAGAGCAACCATTGGTTTTGATCCAATCCAGATAGTAAATATAGGTCCATACTTTTCTGTAAGCTAAAGGTAAAATTAGATGAAAACCCAGTTAATTAAACAATAAAGCATTTTTGGGTGAAATTATTCTAAAGCATGCTTGAAATATTTCTTAAATTCATAATAGAGAAATCATGTTGAATCTAACCTTTAATAATTCTTAGTATCTACAGGGTTCATCAATTTGATTGGATAAATTGCAAGTACTGTATCTCCTAGCTGGAGAGATGATGGGAATGAGATAATCACAATTTTGACTGTATAATACATTTCTGCAAGTAATCTGGTACTACAAAATATATGATAGCAAGTTTTGCTTGTAACCACATATTTTAATGAACTTTGTAACCTCCATTGTGTGTTTATCAGACTGTAATTAGGTGACTTTAAATTAAAATTCCTACTGAAGATGCACAAGAGCCCCTAATAAAATTGGACTCTTATAAAAGAAAATCAAACTCCTTAAACTAGGAAAATGTGGATATAACTTTCCAAATAATCACCTGAAAAAGCAAAGAAATACAATAGTTACCTTTTTATAGGATTTTTTTAGAGGTAGTACATCTTGCTGAAAGAGGTTCCCCAGAATAGGCCATGGAGTAGGTCCAGGGGGCAGCTGCCCTTTTTTCTTGTACATTTGGAAAGATGAGAAAAGGGTGAAAAGTATACAGAGAAGAAGCAGAACTCCTGCCCATGTCAGCTCCATCCTCTCCTCAGTTGTTTTCCTCTTCAAAAATCCAAAAAGCTTTTTAAAGGAGACAATGTTGAAAGAAGGAGACCAATTGAATCCCCAATCACATCTAAATTCTTCACTTCCTCTAACCTTTACATACCTCCTTATTTACATTCAGCTCAAATTATTCTTTCACCTCTATTAGTATAGGAGAGTTACTTATCAACATTCTTATCTTTGGACTGTGGACCACTTTGGCTAAATCCTTAAATAAACAACTCATTTTAAGCACTCTCTCTTATTTGCTGACTATACAATAACTTGTGAAAGAGTAATTAATTAACTTTTGCTACTGAACCCTGTGAAACTTACGTTTTTCTTTTTCTTTCACTGAGTTGTCACAGCCCTGAATTCAATATTATGATCATAAGTAAGTACAATGTTGTCATGACCTTTAACTGGGCAAAATGGTGCATCATGGGGCAATATTTTTTGTGAATGAAGGTGAATATACATGTCCCGGGATAACGTCACCTGTAGTCACATTCAATGTTTGGATGAGCCCATATTGTAATTGTTATGTCCTGGGCCTGCTGAGTGACTCAGCAGGTGTAGGAAGCTGCAGAGACGCCCGGGCAGACCACGTGAATGCCTGGGACCATACAGGCTGTCTCCAGCCTATTGCGCATGCGCAAGGTGGGAGAAATATGTTGCATTGATTGGTTGACACTGTCCCTGAAAAGGATTATAAAAGGAATCCGTGCCATTTTGTTTTGGTTCTGTTGGTGATTAAATAAAAAGAAGACTGTTGTTACTCCTGCCTCGTCTCAATGCCTTTATGATTGAAACAGAACAGTAATGACGGCCAAAAAGACTTTGTTACCTGTAATTGATCTGGCCACAGTGGCACATACCTTGATTCAAGGTTGTCTCAGCCTTCCATCCTTCCGAGGTCGGTAAAATGAGGACCCAATCAATCAATCTGTTTATTACAGCCATAAGGCCAGACATAATCAAAATATAACAACAGTGACAATTTTACTTCCATATTTATAGAATATAAAACCATCAAACAATCAATGTAATAATAATCTGAAATTCTAAAAATAAAACATCATATTAAATTTTTTCAGACCTTGATAATGGTGCGACGTATTGTGCAAATAGTGGCACAAAATTGGCCAACCTGAATTGATATTTTCGGATCCTTATCCAAAAGTAGCAACTTTAGATAAAATTCATATCCCCTACCTGGAAACTTCTTCAATATTGGATATATAAGAATCTATTTATATAAAGAACAATGAAGCAGCATATGGCTTAGGGTTTCTATAGAGTCATCACCACATGGACACAACTGAAGGTGCATAGGAATGCCCTTAAACCGTCTAAAAAGGACTGCCGAGAGCAACACATCCAGCCCTGGCTAAGGTGAAAGCTTTACGAAATTTCAAAATTGTAATGGAAAATAGATAAGACGCTGGGGAGAATCCTTCTGGAAGCAAGTGACAAATATTGGAATGTGCCACCTTACTTAAGTTTGTTTGGAGATCAATATCCCAGATACGTTGATTCAAGGCAGTTCTAGCATTGTCAAATCCTAATGAACACAGACTTTCCATAGAGAAGCCCAGTGATTTAATTTTATCTAGTGCTTTTTTTCCCCACGATGATTTAAAATGACCTATAAATACTAACGGGGCTAACCCTACTATTTCCACCTGTAGGATGGCATTTTTAACACTTTTAGGTACCATCAGTATGGCTCTAATAAACTTATGTTGAATAATTTCAATAGCATTAAGCTTTGCAAATGAACATATTTGCGAGCCATACAGGAGCTGAGGGAATGCCTTAGCTTGGAAAACCTTACAATCTGCCGGGATGTAGTAAGCTCCTTTAGAACAGCGGTTCTCAACCTGTGGGTTGTGACCCCACTTGGGGTCAAACGACCATTTCACGGGGGTCGCCAAACAACACAGTCCGCCATTTTTCCCCCTTTTCCTTAGCTGTGCTACTCCCTTTTATTCTATTGGCTCTTGAATAGAGTCTAATTCTATTGGCTTTCCAAAGCCAATAGGAATTGTCCAGGCTGTCTCTGCCCTGCTGAGTCCACCAAAAGTTCCATTCTGCAAACGGTGCTGCAAGTTGTCTGCAGCAAAGGCGAGCTGTCTGGAAGTTTCCACCTCTCCCTGCTGAGCAACTACTAAAAATGTAAGTAAAAGAGGGCCAAGGGTGGGAGGTGCATGGGGCCCGGCGGATGTCTTACTTCCCTTGGGCTGGGCCAGCTAGTGACCCAGCCGGTGGTCTCCCTGCGCCGTCGCTGCCCCTTGCCAGCTATGCCTCGGCCAGTGCAGGGGGCGGCACCATGCATGCGTGGCGCTCCCGGGCAGGGAAAGTCCTCGACTTACGACCGGTTGGATAGTCCTCGACTTACGACTGGTTGGGGGTCACGGCATTAAAAAGGTTGAGAACCACTGCTTTAGAATGATAAAATTTTATGATAGCTGATGAGGTGCGCTGTGCAACACTTGCCAGATAAAGAAAGTGAGTATGCCAGGATAGGGAGTCATGGAACTGCACTCCAAGATATTTATAGGTACTCACCTGTTCAATTGGAGTCCCATCAGTTTGTTATTTATGGATCTTATGATGGTAAGAGGCAAATAGTAAAACTTTAGTTTTTTCAAAATTTATTAATATTTTGTATTCTATGCAAAATAAAGCTAATGCCCTAAGTGCTTTTCTCATTCCCACCTGAGAAGTGGACAAAATAACTATATCATCGGCATACAACAGTGCTGGAATTGCACAATCAGCCAAGATAGGTGGATGATGGGCTGGAGCAGCAAGCACTTTCATTCTTGGATTTAGGTACAATTTTAAAAATTGGGGAGCTAATAGGCAACCTTGCCTTACAACTCTATAAGTTGGGACTGCTTTAGATGAATGTCCCCAGGGGGAACATCTGATTTTTAGAGAGGTATTTGAATAGAGTGACTGAATGAGAACCAACAGCCTTTTATCAATCGTGGAATGTCTTAGACTACACCACAATCTCTCCCTTGGTATTAGATCAAAAGCTGACTTAAAATCAACAAAAGTTGCATAAAGAGAACCATGAGAGGGAGTAGAATATTTTTCAGCCAAAGGTGCAAAATTAGACAATGATCCAGTGTTGAACATTCCTCCCTATTACAATGGCCTGATTCCAATCGGTGGAAAATGTCCTATGTTATTAATATGAGTGAATAGGATGGCTAAAACTGGGGCCCACCAGTCTTTATTTTCCCTTATTAATTCTGGGGGGATAAAATCCCCTCCGGATGCATTACCTGATTTCAACTGGGCAATATGGATACTGGAGGCCAATCCGGGAAGTCATTATAAGGGGCGATCACTTCTGAAATTACAGCAGGAATCCGCTTAAAGATGTTTTTAAAATGATCCTCCCATTTGTCAGCAGATATTTGTGAAATAGGGCCAAAACTTCTATTTGTAAAAGACTGATTTATTAAATGCTAGAACAAAGTAGAATTTTTGAGCTTTGCTGCTGAAATTAGATTACTCCAATTTTCTTTTATAGCCTGTTGTTTCTTTATCTTTAAGAGATCTTTATAATTTTTTTGTGGTCTTGAGTAATTTAGAAGCATTCACCAAATTTTCCTGGCGAAAGGAAATTATTGCATTTAAGAGAGCTTTTTTTTTGCTTTAATGCAATCACTATCATACAAAGATTTAGATCTTTTATGCACATGCACAAATAAGCTGTTGTAAATCTTGTCGGGGGGGGTTGGAGATTAGTGGTAATTGATTGATACAACGAAAATGCTTGTTCATATGAATCAGATGACCAAATCTGAATATGCATATGAAGCAGGGGCTCTGAGGTCAACATTTCAGGCATAGTTTTGGCCAGTTCTTGAGACCATTTAATTTTTACTTGCCCCTTTATTGTAATATCGATGGACAATGTGCCACTTCTAATAATTCAAAATTTGTCTTAGCCTTAAATGGACAGATTAATGGAAAGTGGTCACTATCAAGGCGCATTCCAATATAAAAGTAAACTATATGCTGTACAAAGTTCCGAGAGATCATAATATAATCCAGTATACTGGCTCCCTTAGGACCCCAGAATATGAACTCTCTGTTTAAATCACCTCTAACAGAGCCATTAAATAAGACCAAATCTAAACTATCCACAAATTGAGCCAGACGAAATCCTGCACTATTACATTTTTGATCTTTAGATTGTCTGGCTGCTATGAGGCCTACATCAATTTTAGGGGGCACTGGCCACTTAAAATATGTTTGTAGGGAAGCATCAGATTTGCCAATGCGTGCGTTAAAATCCCCAGCTATTATTATAATTGAGTTTGGGTAATGCCATGATAGCAAATTTACATAGGGATCAAACTGATCCCACAGCTTGTTTATTTCTCTATGCCCACGAAATGGAGGGAAATAGGCATTAACCAATAATACAGTGCAAGATTTGAATCTAAGTAAAAGGGCTAATGCCATATTTGAGCAAGACTCAAGCATAGATACTGAAACACTGAGTTTAACAGATACCATAGAACTGATGGTCTGTCCTTTTTTATGCATTCAGAGTAAAGGGAATATAATCAAAATTGTGTCATTCTCGTTTGTTGATTAGGGCTAGTTTTCAGAGGTCTGGTAGGCGGGAGGTCTCGTCACATTTATTCATGTTGTGGGGGTGTTTTTCTATTTTGATGGCTTCCATAATTATTCTCTTCTTGTGGTGTTCAGTTTTGGAGATTAGTTTGGTTCCTTCAAAACCAATTTCATGTCCTGTAGCTTTAAGGTGCTGGAAGAGGGAGGAAGTTTTTTCTTCTTTTCTGGCTGCATTCTTGTGTTCTGTGATGCGTGCATTTATTCTCCTATTAGTTTGTCCAATGTATGTGGCTGGGCAGATTTTGCATGGTATTTCATAGACTCCTTGGTTTTCTAGCTGGATTATGTCTTTGGGGTTTCTTAAGATGTTGGCTATTTTTTGGTTGGTGCCGAAGGCTGTCTTGATATTGTGTTTGTGGAGAATTTTGCTGATTTTATCTGTGGTGCCTTTGATGTAGGGGAGGAGGGCGGGAGAAAACCCGAATAACCAAAGACCTACATATATAGTAGGCAAAGAATATTTCTTCCAAAATTGTCCAACCAATAACCTTGCCACCGTAATAAGATTCAACATTAAAATAGTTTCTTTAACATCACAATCTACAATAGTACCTAACAAGAATAATTGTGGTGAAAACTTTATCTTTCTATTAAAAATCTTCTGAGTGTTCCACCAAATCTTAATCCAAAAGGCTTTTATGTTTTTACACGTCCACCAAATGTGGTAATAAGTTGCATCCAAGCATCCACATCTCCAACACTTAGACTGTAAATTAGGATACATAATATCCTAATTTACAGCAAAAATATCCTAAATTTGCAAAGTTTTGATTGTTGAAGTATTCTAGAATGTTGTGATTTAATGTGTGTCTCCTGGAGACAAATTATATCCATTTTTAGCTTTTGTAGTCTATGAAATATTTTACTCCTTTTTGATGGGGAGTTAAGACCATTTATATTTATTGAAAGAATTCCAATTTCCTCCATAGTTTCAGTTGTGTCAAGATCTCAGTTTTCTAGAAGAGCTTATCTGCCTCTGATCTTTAGGCCTCACATCTTCCTCTGATTGAAACTTTTTAGGTGCTTCTTCCTCTGTTTGTTTCGATGTTCCTGCAGTCGTTTCCTCTGGTTTGTTAGGTTCCACCTCACCTCTCTCCAAGATTATTTAAAAAAGTCCTCTGTTGATCCTTCTGAGATCAACCATCTAAAGTTCAGTCCTTAACTGATCAATTTCCTCATTAAGAATTGGTATTCTCTTCGAGCTTCTCTAATTCTTCTTGGGATCTGTTTGAGAACTATCAAATATTTATCTTTGTATTTCAGAGGTTAGTCCCTCATAGTCTCAGGATCTCATCCCATACTGCTCTTTTGCTGAATCTAATATGAACTTCCCTAGGCACTCTATTTCTTCTTGCATAATTTGAATTCACTCTATAGACTTGATCAACTTCTCTTTTGATTTGATCCCTTTCCATTCCGAGCAAGTCCACCAATAACTAAGTCATCAATAGTAACAAGTTGTCATCACTCTCTTCTACCACATTTTGGAATCTTAGAAAGTATGATGCACGTTCAAACACCATCCTTGCCATATTTTCTTCCAGCTCCGCATTAGATTGCACCAATCTTTGATTTTCATCTTGGAGAGCTTCTAATTTCTGGTCTACTACTACTGACTTGTCTTCAATATTTTGCATTCGTTGACTTCCGGTGGCGATGGCGGCTTTCTTCAGCTGTCCGCCCTGGGATGTGTCAAAGCCAGCTGAGACAGCAAGCAACAGCTGTCTCGTGGCTTGGAAACTCTCTCCCCAGGCGAAGGGGAGGAGGTGAGCTTTCCTCAGATAGTGGTAGAGCTCCCTGAGGCCCCAAAGTTTTCTTTTTTGGTGGTCAGAGGGTGAGCTCCCACGGAGCAAAGCTAGACGCTGCTTCCACATCTGTGCTTAAAATGAACTTGTGAGTAAATTTTAAAGCAGAAAGAGCTGACCAGGAGAGACTAAAATGGGGATTATTTCGGACTTTAACTCTGGAAAAGAACTTATCTTCTCCTTCTTTTAAATAAGAGTGGTGAAAAATGGCGCTGAGATGTTGATTCATTGAGTGAAAGGACCGGAACTTCTACTTGGAACAATGTAACAGATTTTGCATTTGTATAAATTTCAAGAATCTTCTTTTTTTCTTTTAAGGGGGCTTTTGTCTTTTTTCCCCTTCTCCTTTTTTCTTTTTTTTGGGGGGGGGGGTATTTGTTGATTTTATAAGATTTTAGCAGACTTTTTATAAGTGGTCTTAAAAATAAAATGGCTTCAAAGCGTCTTGGAGCTTCTGTTGCTTCTAACGCCTCGATCTTCCTGGTAATGCAGACAGCTCAGCAAGCTAAGTCTAAGTTTCCACCATCTTCTCCATTGTCTCCAGCATCTATACTTAAAGATTTACAGGATGCCTTGGAAAAAAAGGCACGACAGGTTAAAGAAGAGATGGAGATTTTTATTGAAAATAAATTCATGAAATTGACAGAGGACATTTGCGTTTCAAAAGTTTGTTGGTCACATAGATCTTCTGGATGAGCGTATTGATGATGTTGTGGAAAATTTTGAAAAACTGGAAGATCGAATTGACAAAGTGGAAAATAATGTGGAAATAATACAGGATGAAGTTACTATGTTACAATACAAAAACATGGAATTTGCTTTAAGAATAAGGGGAATGAAGGAAAATATTCAAGAGGATTTGAGACAAGTGGTGGTAAAAGATATAGCTCTTATTTTGGGGGCTGAGCGTGAAGAAATATTGAGGGTTAATTCTAGGATTGCGAGACAAAGGAATTTGCCATGAGATGTGGTTATCTATTTTTCTAGGGCAGTGGTTCTCAACCTGTGGGTCAGGACCCCATTTGGGGTCGAATGACCATTTCACGGGGGCCGCCCAAAAACACAGTCTGCCATTTTTTTCCCCTTTTCCTTAGCTGTGCTACCCCCTTTTATTCTATTGGCTTTTGAAAACCAATAAGTGCAACATATTTTTCCTGCCTTGTGCATGTGCAATAGGCTGGAGACAGCCCGTCTGGCCCAGGAAGCCTCATGGTCTGCCTGGGACTCTCTGCACCTGTTGTGTCAATCACAGCCCAGGACATAACAAAAGTGGTTTCCATTCTTTTAATCAGGAGACAGATTAGCTGTTTAAGAGACTTCAATTGATTGAGGCTATAACTGACCTGGGTGATTTGCAAACTCATAATCTGGTAAATCACCAAGCTTGGGCCTCTGCCCTGCTATTACAGAGCCCAGGAAAATCTCAGGTGGAGGAAATATATACCATAGCTTACTAGAACCTGAAGTGTTTGCCATAATTCCACATATTTCTTTTTTCCTGTTGGTAAAGTGCCTGTGAATAGTTTAATGCCAAAATTCAAAGATATATTAAAAAAGTGAATTTACAAGTAAGGGATGAAAAAGTTCCTAAATGTAGTTGAATACTTTGCCACAGGTAGTTCTTTAGTGTTATTAGGATTAATTACGTAATCATGCAATGTAAGATGAAGGAGCCCTGGTGGCGCAGTGGTTAAATGCAGTATTGCACTATAGCCTACAGTTGATCCTGATGGGGCTCAAGGCTGAATCAATCTTTCATCCTTCCAAGGTCAATAAAATGAGGACGCAGATTGGTGGGGCAATATATAAATAATGCTCTACATTGTAAGCCACCCAGAGAATGTTGTAAAGCACTATGGGCCGTATAAAAGCCTAAATGCTATTGCTATTGCTATGAAGCTGCTAGGCTGATTTTTACTGCCTTAAAAAGACAAATCAGGAGAGGTTTGCATAATTGTAGCCATGCATGGAACTCCCATGTGGAAAACCTTGTCCCAGAAAGTAGGTTCCTATACTGTAATTGGACTATTTGAATTCACCTATACCCTAAGGCAGCAATGCTGGCTGTGGAATTCTGGGAGTTGAAGTCCGCATGCCTTAAAATTGTCAAGGTTGAGAAACACTGCCCTAAGGCAAGACTTGGACTGTCCCTTATTTGAGCTGCAAAGGCATTTAATACTTTCCCATTTCTTAATAATTTCCCAGAATGAGATTCTGCAGAGCTGGAAGGGTATATAAGAATGTTTTTTTTTCTTGTTTCAAATAGAGTCTAACTATCCATTGAGGCTCTATTAAATATTGCTGAACCTTGTTTCCACCGTCCCTTTCACCCTTATTAGAGGCCATATTAAGGACAAAGTTGAAACCCAGTAAACATGCTTTCATGACCCAGTTAGGATTTTTAAAGGTAAAACACACAGGTAAAATGTAAAAAAAAAAAAAAATCACACACCTTAAAGTTTTTCTCACTGGCCTGCATGGAGTCTACAATGCTGGAATGTTTTTTGTGCCAGGCAGATGATGGGATTACTGACAGAGCCTGAAATGCAAATTTGTCTTGGAGGCAGCAGAGCGGATTAGGCAATAACAGCTGAGAAAGCAAAAATGTCCTTTTTCCTAGGGCTAAGAGAGAATGTCATCAGACTGGCTTTCATGGCTAAAGTAAGGCTTGAACCCCCATTCTTTTACTTTCTAGTCTGGTGCCTTAAGCTCTAAACCAAACTGGCCCTTTTATAAAAGCTTGCTTTTTCCTTGATTCCAAGGAAAAGGAAAACAGATTTAGTATACACATTTTAGCAATAACTTCTCACCCCTTGCAATACTAAGGATTCCAAATGCATTATTAATGATAAATCCAAGGCCTTTTTCTTTACAAAACAATATTTTCTTTCCTTTTTCTTTACAAAACAATATTTCACTATAATCCATTCAGATGTTTGTTGATCCTCATTACAAATTACTTCATTACATCTGTTGGCATAATGTGTTTCTTCCAATAACTTCTCACCCCTTGCAATACTAAGGATTCCAAATGCATTATTAATGATAAATCCAAGGCCTTTTTCTTTACAAAACAATATTTTCTTTCCTTTTTCTTTACAAAACAATATTTCACTATAATCCATTCAGATGTTTGTTGATCCTCATTACAAATTACTTCATTACATCTGTTGGCATAATGTGTTTCTTCCAACATAGTCCCCATACAGTTTCTGGTGCAGTTCCTCAAAGATATCTCTGAATGCCATTATAAATTGCTTGTCTTTTGTCTCCAATATCAAAAATATTTTTTTCTTTTCCACAAATTTATATTTATTTTTTAAAATAATTCCAGAGTCTTAATAATCAAAATCCAATATTCCAATGTTTTCTTACCCCTTAATCTTTTAAAAACTTTCTGTATACAAAACCTTGTTTGCTTTTTGCTGTTTATTTTAAATTCTTAAAATTATAAAAATAGATATTAATTTTCTTTTCTTTTTTAAAAACAAGTTTTATTAGTTTTTTCTTTTTACAGACAAGTCCTTAAGAATCAACGTGGTGGCAGGGTAATCAATTGTCCAAAAGCAAAGTCATACTTATATAGTTCAAATTAAATCATTAGAAACCCCCTCTCTATTCCCTCAGATAATATATTATATTCAAATTAATGTATTTCAATACAACTAAGTCAATCAAAACAATAATAATAATAATAATAATAATAATAATAATAATAATAATAATAATAATAATAATAATAATAATAATAGTAAAGTTGGAAGGGACCTTGGAGGTCATCTAGTCAAACCCCTGCTCCCAATGATCAATAACATTTCATCTAAATAAGTCCAAATCCTGTGTTCACCTTTATTATTACAATTGCTATATTCCATTTTGCTACTATAAATACATAATTAACACATTTAAGATAGAAAAATGTGGGGTAGACAGAATCACCACCAGATGGATCCATAGCTGGCTGACCGGCCATACTCAGCGAGTGGTCCTCAATGGAACTGCATCTATATGGAGGGAAGTGTGTAGTGGGGTGCCCCAGGGCTCTGCTCTGGGCCCAGTACTCTTCAACATCTTCATCAACGATTTGGATGAAGGGATAGATGGGGAACTCATCAAATTTGCAGACGACACCAAGCTGGCAGGAATAGCCAACACTCCAGAAGACAGGCTTAAGATACAGAAGGATCTGGACAGACTTGAAAACTGGGCACTAACTAACAAAATGAAATTCAAGGGTGAAAAAAGCAAGGTTCTACATTTAGGCAAGAAAAACCAAATGCACAAGTACAGCATAGGTGGCACCATGCTCAATAGTAGTAACCGTGAGAGGGACCTCGGAATCCTAGTAGACAATCACCTAAATATGAGCCAGCAGTGTGCTGCAGCTGCCAAAACGACTAACACAGTGCTAGGCTGCATTAACAGAGGGATAGAATCAAGATCACGTGAAGTATTAATACCACTCTTCAATTCCTTGGTAAGGCCACACTTGGAATACTGCATCCATTTTTGGTCACCACGATGTTAAAAAGATGTTGAGACTCTAGAAAGAGTACAGAAAAGAGCAACAAAGATGATTAGGGGACTGGAGGCTAAAACATATAAGGAACGGTTGCTAGAATTGGGTATGTCTAGTTTAACGAAGAGAAGGACAAGGGGGGACATGATAGCAGTATTCCAATATCTCAGGGGCTGCCATAAAGAAGAGGGAATTAAACTATTTTCCAAAGCACCTGAAGGCAGGACAAGAAGCAACGGGTGGAAACTAATCAAGGAGAGAAGCAACCTAGAACTAAGGAGAAACTTCCTGACAGTGAGAACAATTAATCAGTGGAACAGCCTGCCTCCAGAAGCAGTAAATGCTCCAACACTGGAAGTTTTTAAGAAGAGACTGGACAGCCATTTGTCCGAAATGGTGTAGGGTTTCCTGCCTGAGCAGGGGGTTGGACTAGATGACCTCCAAGGTCCCTTCCAACTTTACTACTATTACATATTACACTTCAGGTGTCTCTCCATTCCCTTTTTCCTTGACATAATCAATAATCATTTATTAATATCATTTCTTCTTTTTTCTTATTCTTCTTCCATTACAAAATAACTATCTCTAATAATATTTCTAATAATAGTCTTGATTTATATGAAAAATGCGCATAGACGTAAACAGACTCAGAAACGCAAAGAGTTGGAAGATGAGATTAAATGTAAGGAAAAGGTTTTAATATCAAACCTAATGGATAATAACTTAAAGGTTTCTATAACTCTGCTTAAGGAGCAATTTAATATGTTAATAGCAGATCAGATGGCAACTAATTTGAGGTATATGAAATATAATACATTTTGCAATGGAAATAAACCTGGTAGATGGTTGGCTTACCAATTACAAAAGAAACAGAAATCAAGGACTATAGAGAAAATAACTTATAAAGGTAAAGAAGTGTATCAACAACATTTGATTAAAAAGACTTTTTTAGATTTTTCTTCAAAGTTATATGCTAGTGAAAGTATACAAATTTTAGATATAGAAAAATATTTACAGGAAGCACACTTTTCTAGATTTACGATTGATCAACGTGATGGGATTAATGGTTTAATTACTTCTGAAGAGATTATTTTTGCAATTAAACAATTGAAGGTTGGTAAGACTCCAGGTACTGATGGATTAACAGCAATTTATTATAAGATGCTATCTGAAGAAATGATAGAACCATTAAAGGAACTTTTTAATGATATTTGTTGGGAGCAGAGCTACCTCCATCTTGGAGAAGGGCTTTTATATCATTGATTCCAAAGGAAGACCAGGATCTGTCCCAACCTAGAAATTATAGGCCTATATCTCTTTTAAATACAGATTATAAGATTTTTGCAAAGATATTGGCAAATAGATTAATGCGGGTCTTGAAACAATTGATTCATACTGACCAATCTGGATTTATAATGGGAAGATATATGAAATATAATGTAAGACAAATTGTTAATTTAATAGAGTATTTGGATAAGAACAACCAAATTCCTGCTGCTTTTATATTTATAGATGCTGAAAAAGCTTTTGATCAATTAGATTGGAAATTTTTATTGAAAGTCGTAGAGGAAATGAACTTTGGAGATAAATTTTTGTGTGCTCTCAAGGCCATATATCAGAAACAATCTGTACAAATTATAATTAATGGGGGACTAACGGATGTTTTTAAAATAGAAAACGGTATAAGACAGGGTTGTCCCTTATCCCCTTTGTTATTTGTATTAACAATGGAGATTTTACTTATTAAAATTCGAGATTCATCTAAATTAAAAGGAATAAAAATAAATAAGAATGATTATAGGCTGAGAGCTTTTGCTGATGATTTCTCTTCAAGAAAATTGGAGATATGAAGGGAATGTTTCATGCAAAGATGGGCATGATAAAGGACCAAAATGGTAGGGACCTAACAGAGGCAGAAGAGATTAAGAAGAGATGGCAAAACTACACAGAAGAACTATACAAGAATGAGCTTAACGTCCCAGATAACCACAATGAGATGGTCACTGACCTCGAACCAGACATCCTAGAATGTGAAGTGAAATGTGCCTTAGAAAATTCCAGCTGAGCAAAATCAAAATCAGTAAAATGCTACACTCAATTTGCCAGCAAATTTGGAAAACTCAACAGTGGCCACAGGATTGGAAAAGGTCAGTTTACATTCCAATTCCAAAGAAAGGCAATGCCAAAGAATGTTCAAACTATCGCACCATTGCACTCATTTCACATGCTAGTAAAGTTATGCTTAAAATCCTACAAGCTAGACTCCAGCAGTATGTGGATCGAGAACTACCAGAAGTACAGGCAGGATTTCGAAGAGGCAGAGGAACTAGAGATCAAATTGCCAACATACGCTGGATCATGGAGAAAGCTAGGGAGTTCCAGAAAAACATCTACTTCTGCTTCATTGACTATGCAAAAGCCTTTGATTGTGTGGATCACAACAAATTGTGGCAAGTTCTTAAAGAGATGGGAGTACCAGACCATCTCATTTGTCTCTTGAGAAACCTATATGTGGGTCAAGAAGCAACAGTGAGAACCGAACACGGAACCACTGATTGGTTCAAAATTGGAAAAGGAGTCCGGCAAGGCTGTATACTGTCGCCCTGCCTATTTAACTTATATGCAGAGCACATCATGAGAAAGGCAGGGCTAGATGAATCAAAAGTTGGAATTAAGATTGCCGGGAGAAATATCAACAACCTAAGATATGCAGATGATACTACTCTAATGGCAGAAAGTGAAGAGGAACTAAAGAGCCTCTTGATGCGGGTGAAGAAGGAAGAGGGAAGTAAGGGAGGAAGTTAGAGGGAGGATACGGTTTGGGGGGAAATGGGTGAGCAATACTGAAAGTTGTATGTATAAATTTATTTTATTTTTTATCTGAAGTATTTTGTAAGAGTGTAATGAAAAATGGAAAATAAAAACTTTTTACAAAAAAAAAAAAAGAAAGAAAGAAATGTCTTCAGAATTTGCAGCCTGATAGAAACCAGGAATCATTTATCAAGTGCCTGCAGTACCACCCTCAAAAAAAAAAAAGAATATTAGTTCAAAAAAGAAAAGAAAAAAACAAAAACAAAAATTACCTTTCTACTCTATTATACTTTATGATCTATCAATCCCTCAATATCTATATCAAACTCCTTTAACCCCCTCCCAAATTACTATATCCACAACAAACATGTTAATACACAAACAAATATCTTCTTGTTAAATTCAAATCTTTAATTAATTTTTATTCAATCTAGCATCTTATTTAACTATCTTAAACCATAAATCAATCCATATCTAATAAGCCTTTTAAATCCGTTATATAGAGCCTTGAATCATACTCTTAAATCTTATTCTAGCTTTCTTTTTGTGCCAGGCAGGTTTCCATAGCAACGCCTCTATATCAATGAACAAGTCTTCCGGTTCCGGATCACGGCATTTGCAGCTGTGCAAAGAGACTACTCTCTTCACCGGCTGATTGTCCGCTGCCAATAGACCCTTAATCGGGTCGAAAAGCCACCCTGGAGGGGCGGCTATCATTGAGGAGGTCCTCATTGGCTATGGGAGAGTGGCAGCTTCTTCCATGGCCCAAGATTGCTCCTTAGGGCCGATGGTGGAAAGACCGGCCAGTAAAATGGCCGATCACTTTGCCGCTATAATCAGAAATCAGAAGAACATCTAAGCGCAGGAACCACCGTGGCTGAGCCAGGTGAGACTTTTTTTTTTTTTAATCCCTCTCTTGGTTCTCCTTTCTTTTTTGCTGCCTGTAAAAAGCATCTTTGAAATTATTTCCCTGCTCCAAGAAAGCGGCATTTGTGAGTGTGGGAAAAAAAGATTAAATGGACTGAATTAACTTAAACTGACTTTTTATTTATTTATTTATTTATTTTATCCACTTTGGAGTCTTAGAAAAAACTTTTAATATTGAATTTACTACTGAACTTAGTCTACACGTGAAGAATTTTCTCTTTTTTTTTCTTCTGATCTTGTTAAGGTCATTCCTGGTGTCTGGGAGGAGATTTTATAGTTTACTGAGGACATCTTGTGGAGAAAGTCAAAATTGCAACTGTCTTTTTCTCTGATGGTGAGATTGACTTTGACCTTCAGATTACCATAAAAGGGGAAAGACAAAGAAACTTAACAGCTGTATTTGTGGGGGTGGATACTGACTAAATGTTTTTTTGAGCACAGCCTCT